AAATCTACATGCATAGAAGAAAAAACTTCTCATTTAGTTTTAAATTTCACGTTTATATTAGCGCGATTATTCAAGTAACATGAAGATATATATTACACCATCTGAAGATAAAAGACAAAATGTAATCTACTCACGACTAGGTTGTCCTTGTGCTGGTTCAAGCCAAACTCCAATAAAAACGATTAACACAAAACCCAACCACATTTTCACTCCAAACAAGACTTTTGGGAGTTTTGGTCTATTATATTGTCATGGATATATCCCATAAAAAGCGACTAAAATGTCTGCGTTTATACACCCGAGGTGTTTATGACACATATGAATGCCTGGTAGACCAGTGGCGGATTTACGGGTGTGCAGAATAAATTACCGAGCTTAATTTTACATTCAAAACATCTTAATAACAACGCTATTGTTATAGATTTGAAAAGAGTATTTTTACATTAAAATCTGCCAATGCGGTTCCGATTTTAAACCTTATATTAATTTCTTCTGCACACCCCTAGATCCGCCACTGTGGAAGCGATAGAAATCATCTTTAAAATCGTTCTGTCTACCTCAGTCGCTATCGTATTCGGGTTAAAATATATAAAAATACATTATCTGTAATATACGTAAATTATCTCATTTACTTATCTTGATTCAAATTACAAACTTAACTAAACTCATCAAAGGAATTAAGCGACCCGCTTAAACAGAAAATTTGTGTCTTCATGCAAAACATTTTCTTATACATCCTCAAATTTCGTGCATGAATGTAACTCTTTTTGATCTAAGTCCCCCACCCTTGCCTTGGACTTCGCACACGAACAATGAAGACAACTTAAAACTTTTATGTCAATACTCCGGGTGTTTCGTGACTTTCGTGTTTGGAAATGAAAATATATTTTAATATCTCGGTACTTTAGCCTTGTCAGAAGGAGCGACCTGCTGAAAGCCAAAACACACCAGTAATTTAGTATTCTATTTCTTTCTCGAAACTAATTTATTAAGTTAAACAAGCAGGAACAAGGAATCGGCAGATGTTTTGTACAAATCCCGTGCAAGATAAATTATAAAAAACAAAATATATGAACTAAGAGGCCAACTAAGCTGCTCGCGTAGAGAAGCAATTCCCCTTAACATTAACAACTGTCCAGTTATTCTTGTGCGACACGACAAATATTTCTGGTCGCTCATGCATTTCACGAAAAATATTCGTGAGGCTTTACGATTCAGCTAGCCTTTGTGCAGACGCTATAGCTATATACTAATAACTTTCGGCTTTCGTGCAGGCGGCCGCCAACATTCGGGCTACGAATATTCGAATAATTTGTACCGTTTTTTTAACGTCTATGTTACGTATAGGCTATGATTCAGCTGGCTTGGTCATAGTTTACTGGATGTATACACGCATTTAATAAAATTTTAACGTTAAAACAAATTAGACAGTGAAGAGTCGATATACCGCAGAGTTAACATACTGGGTCACCCCCATAGGGTCTTGTTTTGTAAGAACAGGATTGCCAATTTAACCTTTGTATTTAATTAACTAATGACCAAAGACATGCAGTCAAAGACAGACATAGTCTTGAAAAAACATGCTCTAGAAAACAAGCTGAAATCATTTGCTAAACTAGACTTGTCCTATCATTCTACTGATGTTTATGTATATTCAAGCTTGTGCAAGATGAAGACAATGCAAAATGTCCTAAGTATAATCTCTTTTGTTTTTTGAACTGCACAAAAGAGTTTAGTTCCTTGTAGGAATCACAAAAATGTAATAAACTAAGTTAATAAGTGTTATGAACGGTGAAGCTGTCAGAGAGTTAATATAGTTCTTAATAATATAATTATCCTGTCATATCCCCTATGGATTTGACATTTACCTGTTAATACCACAGATATCCCTACTGATATATCACAATCATTGATAACTACAATATTTTGTAAACCATACTGGATGTGACTAATGCTGAGAATAGTCAACTCTCAAACTTAATAGTTACATATTTGCCACAACAATTTGCAATGTTCATCATTACGAGGCCTGCAACGTTCGTTCATCAATCATTCCTGTTGAAATATGTCACACCAGGAGCTGTTTTTTGAGCCCAAACGTTCAGTTGAATTATTGAGTTCACAATTCAACGAGGAGGGAATGAAATTAAATGATCGACAAACTTTCTCAGCGAAGCACTTCATGCCGCATTGTGCAATAGGAAATTGAGAAAAAAACAAAACCCTCGAGCTTGTGATTCTCAACACGAGTTGTAGACATGCTAACGCAAGCTAAAGAGAAAATAACAGAACTTGCATTTAGCCTGGATTGGCGTATATATAGATCCCTGATTTTCATAATTTTGCATGAACGAATCATTGGCGGGAATCATTGGCGAGAACCATTGGCGGGAATCATTGGCGGGAATCAGTGGCCGGAATCAGTGGCGGGAATCAGTGGCGGGAATCAGTGGCGGGAATCAGTAGCTGGAATCAGTGGCGGAAATCAGTGGCGGAAATCAGTGGCGCGAAAAACCTTTCTGAACTAATAACTGATCTTCGTAGTTGTGGAAATTCTGCTGAGTAATTTTTGATTATAGATTTAAATGATGACTTTAAACGAATATTTAGGGCGCGAATATAATTTCTTGTGTTTTGTATGGTTCTTAATATACTTTAGAATTTATACCTAGTATAGAATTTATTATTGGTCAGTGGTAATCGGGTACAAAAAGGTACACAATGCTATTAGTAAAATGGATTGCACATGATAACTTAGTACATACCAGCCGAGAAGAAGATGCAGCACTTGCTAGAAATAAAAAGCAAAATGTTTAAATTTTATGGACATAATTGAACAAACAATATGGTGACCAACTGTTCTTGAAAGAGTTGGGTTGAACTACAATCCACAAGATAGCTATAAAGAATATATTTAAACGCACGTACTGGCGTTCTTACCTTTACCATGTGAAGTTGTGCTCGTTGGAAGATGACTCAAAGAAGAAGTTGCTACGAGGTAAATTAAAGATGTTTAGTTCTTTTAAGAGATCTTATAGCTGATTTATTGTTCATGAAAGGATTAAACTATACAATCACGAGATATAAAGAATATATTTACACATGTTCTTACCTTTACCATGTGAAGTTGTGCTCGTTGGAAGATGACTCAAAGATGAAGTTTCTACGGGGGGTAATTAAAGAGGTTTAGTTCTTATAAAAAGTTATTGATGCATGAAATGTACATGCACACATTCCTACCTATATCGTCTTGAGATGTTTGTGTAGGAAGTTGACTCGACGAACGAGGTGCTGCAAGAAAAACTAGAAAATTAGAAAAATAATTTCTGCGCTAAAAATGGACAGTGGATATATAGGGACAACTTAACGGATAAATGAGAGATCCTATATAAAGAACTGGTTTTATTATTATAATTCATTAATGAGTTTATCCTGTGATATAAAATGATAAAGAATTATTTGTAATCGACATATTTCTACCTTCAACGTTTGCAGATGTTTAATTGTATTCGAGGCTGACTCGACGAAGGAGCCAGGAGGTGCTGCAAGAGAAATCATGGACTTTTGTTAGTTTTTTATGTTGTTTGAGCCAAAAAAACACAGTAAAAAGCTGTTCTTGGGACAATAAAATGATTCAATAATATATAATGTGATAAAGTGATCTTTTATATAGTTAACATAACTATTCTTTAAGAGGTTAGATTTTATATAATTTTCACTGCGAAAAAATTTATAGCAGCATTTACATATTACCAGAATCCAATGTGGAAATTTATCGCGGGTTATCTTAACAGACTTGAGATCACTCTTGTTTTAATTGTCTTTCTTCAAAGGTTGTGACTTGCGAATACACTCTTTTAAAAAAAAAACCCACCGCAATGCATGGCGGTAAAATACACGTAAACAATGTTCGTAGTCGGGAATCATATGCATCCAGTACCTGTGTCCTGCATGGGTTAAAGTTTCCATGTGGTCAACTATATAACCCGACATTTAAATTCACCTGATGAAGCACTGCTTGTTATACGAAACAAATTTGTAGTGAATAAAATCATATATGAACTAAAGCAAGTTTATTGTATTTTATATCGTCTCATTAGCTTTTTACTTTGATATATTGAGCACTCTACTCATATATGATTCTAAACATGCACATATTTAGTATATATATTATATATTAAGCTTTGCTTTTCCTTTTTGGGCTGCAGTTAAAATGGAATGGTGCCGTACAAACATTGGTCATGGTCATACTGGCGCAAGCCTTGTGTTTCAAGCCTGAAATACAATGCCTAGCAACCCACGCCTGGTCACGCAGATCGCCGTGAAGGATGCATGGTTTTCATAATTCGTCGAAATTCCCATACCATTATAATTCAGTTGTAGTTTGTTGTAGTTCGGTTTTCATGTCGGATTTTGCATAACAACGAATTACAACTATATGATTACAAGGGATTACGACATGCATGTGAATTACAACAAATTTTACAACGAAAACCAGCCTTTACAATTAAAGATGGCGGCGTGTTGATCTTCAAAACAATTTCTTGCAACTTAAAATTTGTGAAAGAATTTTAAAATGTATATTATGTCAGATCCAATGATTAATTTCGCGAGGACAGACTTCCTTTTGACGAGTGTGTTCTCCACACGTTGCCCTATTTTTGTCAACAAAGCCGATAAAGCCATGCATGATGCATAAGTATCTAAAAGTGGTAGATATATAGCGACCTGTAGTAATAGCGACATGTTAATATAAACATAAGTCCTTCGCAGAAGGAAAACTTTTCTTAGAAAACTTCACTTTGCTGTCTTACATACGTTTGTAAGTAGGACGACATTCGATCCTCATTCGATTTCATTATCATTACCGATTTCAGAAGAATATTTTTCTGCGATATGCTGCTGTACCTTATATTAGGGCGAGCGGGTCGTCTTACAGGTTTACATGCAGGGTGTATCAGATGTATCAAAAAAAGACAATTAAAATTCATATGGTTATTATTGAGCCTAATAGTACACTAAAACTTTTAATTCTGTAGCTCACAAAGTGAACATTTTCTACGTGCTAAACTTTTCAAGCGAAATGCGAAATATTTCGCCTGCCTGAATTAATTTATTCAAGTAGTCGAAATTCAAAAATATTTCGCATTTCGCCGAGAAAAAGCGCCTGTGGTATTCACGCCCTAAGCTGATGGACGAAATTTTACATATTTAATAAAAGTGAAGAAGGAATAACTTAAGTGTATTGTTAATGCGGATAATTTAATTTCGCACGTCCTTGAATAAAAAAATCAGCAAATGGTCTGATGACTCGAATTTTAAGTGTTATATATGTGCAGGGTGTTCAGCAATACATGCATTTTTAGTAAATATATCAGTAGGAATTAAAATCTCAATTGAAAGCAACATTTTCGTATTCCATTGATTCACCACTCCCCTTGGGATGACTTTGACCATTATTGGTCCCGGGGGTTTGCAGTGACTGATAAACGTTTGCTGGTTCTCTGTTGTCATTCAACGGCATGTAATCCGATGATTCCAGTCCTATGTCTGTCTCGTGTGGAGCCTCATTTCGCTCAATTTCGTCTGGAATCTCGTACACAGGGACACGGTCGTTCGCATTTTCAGTCTGCCGATTGGTAGGTTTTTGAATGGAATCTAAGAGATAAAAATATTAAATGGAAACTAACAGATTAAAAGACAGACATTTAAACAGCACATGCAATAGGATTGTGGCTGATTTTGAACGAAAAGAAATGATATCAAAAAGGTAAGCGAAGACGAAAGAAATTCGATTTGTAGCTCGAACAATGACAGCAATTCTTCTCCTTCATAAATCCTAAAATACCCGTAAAGTAAAATATGGTTTATTTACCCAGCTCCATTGTTTGGCCAACTCCTTCAGAGCTAGAATAGCTGTTTTGACGACGAGATAGATATATTATTACGCCAAACGAGAGAAGAAGGCACAATGCTAGAATACTCAGTGGTATAAGGAGATCAAGTCGGGTTTTGTCTTCCGTACACTCGTGAACTGACAGGTTTCCACTTCTATCTAAAAGATTTAAGATGTTTATCAGTTTGTAAACAAAAAATTATCAAGAAACGAAGAACACAGATAAGATCATTCAAAAAACAATGAAAAGGTTTGAATTTCAGGACTCAGGTAATCAGTTACTTGAAGGTCTTCCCATTGTGTGAATACTATCACTCCACTCTGTCGAGTAGTATGAATCCTAAAAAGTATATATGCGTTGTATCACACTTTCTAGATAGTAATGCATGGATGAACAACGCTCTGCAACTGAACAGTTTGAAGTTTTGGATATGAATATTTTTTTAGCTACATACTTGACTTTCAAAAAACCTTAAGAACACGACATAATATGAATTTGCCGTTAAGGGTTGGTTGTGGTAAGTCTCTTCTTCAGATCTGTAACTCTTGCCATCTCCTATTACGAACATCAAGGGTAAAACATCAGCTTTTAAATAAGCAGTGATGTAGGGATCCCGTGTGTTTGGCTGGAAATTTTTGAGATCACTTGTTTTAATGTCTTTGCTTGAAACTTGATCATTCCCAGAACTTTGCACGATGACCATAACTTCTCTAAAGCATTAAATGATATAAAGACGGTCTATTAAATTGAATACAAATAGAGGTTTAGGGTCCTGAGTATATGGGTCCCTTCTGAGAAAATAAAGTGCATCATTTTTATCCCGTCAAAAATGCCAAAAAATCTCTATGCGATCTTGCGCATCGAAATGTCCATCGTTAATGCCAGAAAATCCCGCCCAGAATGTCTAGCATGAACCTTGTCTCGCGTCACACTGATACCCTTACCCCACCTAAGTTATGCTGCCTACCCCCCTCCCCCTTCCCCGAAATCTTGGCTTGCGTCTGGATACATAGAATGTACCAAAGTGCTAAAAATTGTATTTTAATGTATCTAAAAAGCAGAATGGTTTAATGAATTCAATAAGCATGCAGGATCCATTGGCTAAATGGAGTAAATCAGTGGTCAAACAAAAAACTTACTTGATATATTCCTGTGGTTTTGGTATGTTTACAGTCAAAGTGTAAAACGAGGAGGCGATTAGATTGACTGGCCCTATGTAAATATGATAAATAACAATTCATTGAAGTGAGCAACTGTATTTTAAATTACGTGAATTTGCATGTAATGTATGCAAATCATAAGGTAGTCAATAAACAAGTACGATCGTACTATAGTGGACCAGGAACTGCGTGATCGAGTTTCTGAACTGCATTGTATTTACAACAATAGAGAGGACAATTTATTTCTAATCGTGTATATATATATAATTATATATATATATATATATATATATATATATAATATTATATATACGCGTATTCTTATATATAGGCTGAATATTAATGATATATAGGCTGAATATTAATTATATGTATATATTATTTGCTGCACATATAGTCAAGAATTGCTTGTAACTTGCTTCAACGGTCAAAAGTAAAAATTCGAACTCCTTCAATCGATGCGGAATATTGCTTAGAAAAATTGTGCCAAGTTTCATTCCGATCAAACAAGTAATGGTAGAGCCTTAGGGGTTTTTTTAAGACCCTCGCCCCCTAACAACAATAACAACAACAACAACAACAACAACAACAACAACAACAACAACAACAACAACAACAACAACAACAACAACAACAACAACAACAACAACAACAACAACAACAAGATTAGCAGCGGTTAGGGACCAGTTCCTGGTCCAATAAGAAAGCCTTGATAAGGAGATCTAAAAAAAATTTAGTTATCGTAAACGACATGGAGTTAGTCTGATATGTCTCAGAAAATTCACAACAATTTAAGATTTAAATGGGTAATCAAAGGTTCCTAGGAGCTTTAAACAAGTACGAATATAAAATAAAATCACGACTTTGTAAACAGGCTGATACCTTCATTTGTCGTTTCAATGATTTTCGCACTTTTGTTGCCAAAACCAACACTTGTACCAGCCGCAACAGTCACAATATACTTTGTCGATGGTTTAAGATTATCGATAGTATAAGACAATGTCGTATTCGTTTGAGTACACTTCGGACTAGTTGACATTGTTTGGGAAGAATAACAAACTTGATAGCCTGTCAGTATTCCATTACGTAGATCGCTTTCTGGAGGCATCCAGGATAATTCTATTGAATATTTACTTTGGAATGTATAGGTCACATTCATTGGAGGACCACTAGGAACTGGATTGAGGAAAAATAGAAATTATTGATACTGATAAAGTCCTGAAAGTGGATCAAAATATCGATATTCAATACAATCCAAGGAGTTTGATGTCATTTCAAATCCTTAAATTTATCCTTCGTATATTTTACCTCCTTCCTTGGTTTTAAAATCTACAGAAACTTTACTGCCTTTCTCTCCTGAACCATCTTTTGTTCCAATCTCAACTTTATAGTCAGTGTATGGTATAAGTCCACGAATAGTAAATTTATTGTCATATTTCTCTCTGGATATTCTGTATTGAAGTTTTCCGTTGATGAAAATATTGTATTTCGTTATGTAACTTGAGTCTTTAGGTTCTGGTATCTTCCACGTGACATCTGCCGAGGTATTCGATGGTGTAACTTTAATATCCAGTACAGGAGCAGGCATTTGGACTAAAATGAAACAATGCAAAGGTTAGTAAGCAACCAGTGCATTCACTCTTTCCCGTATTTTTATGTTTACCTTCTCCACAGAGTTCTATTCTCAGACAAAAATCATTTGTTCCAGTTGATTGTATTTTGATATGTCTCACGTTGTAAATATTGAAAGCTGTTCTCGAAGCTTGATAGCCGTTTTGGTTTCCGATGATCACCTGAGAATACGAAATATAAAAAATGTATAATACACGAATATCGTGTGAATATGATTATGATTATCATAATATGAGTATAGTTGAACAAAATAATTTCCTCAGTACTAACTAAACTGGATTAAAGTGTCTGTCTTAATGTTGTTGAGGTTTTCAGGATTATGGATTGAGATAGGAATGGTCAATTGATCGACAACACTCTTAAGGTTCTTAAGACAGGGATTAGTGTGACCTTCTTAATCCGGGAATTTAGGATTATTATTAGGATTATAGATATATATGACAACATACAATAATTATAAAGCGACAAATAATCATGGATATACCAATAATTGTAAATACCTGTCTGCTATTGCTAAAGCTGTCATCGTTATTGTATGTCATTGTGTATTGATTACTCCACTTTGTCTGATCTTTGTTACCCATTGTCACGACTCGTGTGATGTGATAGTCTTTCAAAAGATCAATCAAAAGATAATGTGTTTGTGGTGTCTGGGTACACCAACCATCTTTGGTGAATCTTGCATTGCTATAACCAGAAGAGCCACTACCAGAAAACACAGAGTCTGCAAAAGTACTTTCGTCTTGGAGTAACGCTGGTTTATCGCATATCTTACCTAGAGTGGAAATAACGTAAGACATTAAGACAAATTATTTTAGCCAAACTATTACCTGAGTGTTAAAGAAAATACCCGCAACCTCTACAAACCCAAAGTTCTAAAGGCTTACACTCACTCATTGCAAAAAACAACCCGCAAGCCAGCTGCGTGTAATTTCGTCCAATTAATCACAATGTTCGACAATTCAATTATTTTGATTCAAACACTGGCAGCGAGTTTGACTTTGCGACGAGTGGAAAAGAGCTTTAACTATTATACTCACACTTAGCATACGATATATTAACATTTGAAGTCGTTGTAGAGGGAACAAGATCGACACAACAGGATGTTCCACTTGATCCTGTGTTATAACACATCAAATCTCCAGATGCAATTTCTTCATTTGCAGCTATCTCCATGTTTCTAATAGTATTAGCGCCCGTTTCGCTAAATCCCAGGTGTTCACACAGCATTTTTTGACGATTCTTATCCCAATTCTCCTCAATAACCTTTCTCCACGTTGTGTAATTCTTCACTTCAATGAAACCTTCGTTGGGGGACTTTGATAGTCTTATGTTGGACGCTAGAACGAAAACATGACAAATGACATCTGGAATATACCGCAATGCAATTAAGTTGTCGAGACCATCAATTTATTGAAAATAGTTCCATCTGGACCTACCAGTACAAGAAAACTATAACTAGAAAAGAGGCACTGCAATGCTCGTATTACAACCACATTCCCAGGAAAGATTCTATGCAACGAGGTTTATTTTATCATGGCATACTTGAACAAGGTAGTGATAGATTGTGTGAGTGTACATGTGAGCATATAAGCATATAATTACGCGTGAAAATAGGAATGGTATGGAGATGGGGTATAATGACGCTCTTTTCAAAACGAATATATTTTACAATTAAACTTCAACTAGCCTAGCAGCCACATGGGACTTAAAGGAAAATTACAGAAAATTACGTGTACTGATTGACAAACCATATTGACCACGATGTTTCCCGTGTGGTGCATAAAATTACGCCTGGAAAAGTTTATACTCAACGTTCTTTATATTAGTACTAGTTAAGACAACGAGAATAAATTTTCTTTAATAAACTCGTGTGCATGTTTTATCACTTATAAGTATCAGGTGCATTATTACCTTTTATTATGGGGTTAATATAGTTATCCACACAAGTGTACTCGATAAAAAGTTCTTTCGTTGTGTCAGAACAATAATGTGATGACAGTAAATTATTGTCAACGGTCAGTTCGCAAGATCTTTTTCCAGCACAAAGAGATTTCACTTCACAACTTGCTTGTCCACTACACTGCGCATCAAGAGTTGCATTCACATCAAATGTCCCGCTTTTATTGAAATCACCATAATGAGCTTTGTGGATCACCATACGTTGTATTGGAGAACAATGAACATCTTTTATTTTGTCACCAAACTGCGTCACTGAACCTGACATAGAATGGAAATACTTAACTATGTAGGCCCCTGCTTCTTGGAGTGGAACAAGGTGGTTAGTTTGCCCCAGACCCTTATCTGCAAGGCCTCATGCGCCGTGATGGGACATGCACATGTGGCACAATTTAATTTTTTGCATTTTTGGGAAAAAAATTTGATGTATCCTATGAAATAAATAGATTAATTTGTGAGAATATCATCCGTATATAAATCCACAATTTGTCTATTTTAGCCGGATATAGAAAGACGTCATCTTGGTTGAAACCGTTTCTTTATCGAGATGTAGAATCTTACCGAATGTGAACTTTTGTTGTTCTTCTGTGTCGTCGCATCCATCCTTTTTCCGGATGATATATTTCTGATTGGCATCAGGTTGAGCACACGAGTCAGTCTTGGTATTGTAAAAAAATAAAGCTCCAGCATCTCTTTGTTTCATGCTATGTCTCACATCACGTCCAAAATTTGGATACTTTGTGGAGTCAAAAATGACCAAGCGTTGTTTGTATCTACCACCATCGAGGAGTACAAGCGTCCCCTTCCTCGCCATGTTATGCACCGCTTCTGAATTTGGCCAATATTGCAGTTGCGCACTAACACTCAAGCAATCAGACAGCACAGCCCAATATCGATGTGCATAATCATTACTCCAAAAAGAGGCTTTTTCAACTGCAATACACTTTCCAGAACTGGTGTGTCTGAGAAAAAAACAGCGACAACCTGCGAACATAAAATGTGTCATGAACTCATGGCCACCTAAACAGCTCAGGGCGGCGGGCCTAAATTTTATGAAAGGGTAATTTCATTCTTCGTGTGGGAGAGGAAGCTTATATTCTCATAGGCACATATGCAGGAGAACATATTTTTAACAATAGATCAGGGGCCGGTTGTATCAAGCCCGTTTAGCTTAAACGGTGGATAAGCTCAAAATAGAAAGCAAGTCTATTGTTTTATTATTCAACAAGCAAACTAAATGTTTTTAACCATAATACAAAGATACTGTTTACAACTACATATTCAGTGCATAATATTCAAGTTCACTCATTCAAGAGAGATGTAAGAGTGTTATTTAATTTTGACTTATCCACCGTTTAAGCTAAACGGGCTTGATACAACCGCCCCCTGATGTTTCTGAAACTCGTCTGATTTACTGATTTACTGATACCGGCCCCAGCACGTTTTAATGCGCGCATAATAATTACATCTAATAACAAGAATCTAACTATGACATTGGTATACATAGCGGGAAAGAAAATGGCTGCCAGAGGGCATGCAAGTCCTCACCACTGAGCTATATAATAATTCCTGGAGGACCGGCTCCTAATGTTTTTTGCTCAAAAAGTGAAGCAAAAAACATGGCGGATTTTGGCCTCTGTGACGTCACTTTGACGTCACCTGGTCCCCTTTGCCCATGGTAATTACCACTGACCAGGCTCAATTCTGAGCCCGCTACAGTAGATTCCCCCCCTGGTTTTTATGAATATTTTGTTTCTTCCGACTGCCGTGAAACCTTGTTGTTCTGTTTTTTTCGATATATTTTTTACCTAACCCGTAATAAAGCGTTTATTTCGGTTATGTACAAGTCATAGGTACTGTTTTTGCAAATGCCGAAACAAACAAATATTGGGCGAACATATAAAATATTTGATACGTGGACGAAAGTCGAAAATTTTACAATGATATGAAGCTAACAGGTTTTTTCTCTTTTCTTTGTTTTCAATTTCAATATACATTACTGTGTAAAATTTTAGAAATGCTTGAGTTTTTTTGGCATTGTCATAATTTTTTAGTGTCTTTTATGGATACCAATCTGACTTTTTGTAATGCACCTTAGTTTAAACCTTGTAAAGGTGTCCCTGTGTGACCTAAGAAAAGTCATTGATGATTTGCATTTGATATGAAATTATACCTAATAGCAGGAGTAGTACAAATATAATAGCCTAATGAATTCACAAAAATGCAACTGTGCTTGTTCACCCCTCCATAGGCTCCATTAGTCAGTCTATCATCCAAAAACCCTGATTAGAACAATAATTTTAGCCCTTTAATGGTGTGGGGGGGAAATGCATTGTCCAGGAAATTATAAAAGTTTTTGCAGATTGAAGACACACTGCTCAATTAATGCATGTTTTTATGCATTTATTTATTATTTTTAATCTGAAAAACCATTGTAAAAAAATGTCAGCCAACAACAGCCAACAACAGACAACAACAGCCAACAAGTCTATATAGTAAAATTATCAGTACAATGTTCCACTAATTTGCATAACAAGCCATCTCTTGTTGAATTCTATAGCATCTTCATCCTGAAAAATGGAGATCTTTTTAAGATTAACTGTACTCAATATATACAGTACTCTGCACCCAGAGAGAATAACAATAATACTAATCAACATTAAGAGTAAATTAAATGTACATTTATTATAAACAAGGTGCAAGAAGTCCATTAAACCATGATAAATTGACTTTTGACAAGGCAAACAAGATAACATATTAGACCTTTAACAGCCACTACAAGTCTACCAAAGGTTGAATCTGAAGTGGAGTGAAATATTTTGTATCAGCAGTCAGCACCTCAAAATTCAAAAGATTAACTATTGATAACATTTGCCTGACACAAAAAAGTTTTCCTATGAATCCTATCGTAATTAAGTCACGTACCAAAGGTCAAAAAGGCTAATAAAAGCAAATAACTTTTTATCGTTGACGCTTTTGCAGTTGTTTATACTATAGTAGTCCGAAGGCAAAAAAGTTCAAAAAAAAAATAATTTGAAAACTGGCTCACCTGAGGCAAAAATAGCTTTCCCGATAAGTGAATTAAGCCATTCACAACGTCATATGTAGAGCAAGAAGCCGCTTCCCCGTTTACTTTGTTGAACAGGGAAAAAGATAAACAATTTAATCTTTTTTAGAGGAAATACGAAAAAAATCTTTACCGAAAATCAAAAATATTTTCGTAAAGACCAGGAGGGATACACATAGTTTTTCACTTTGTATCGCGGTATGTCAGTGGTAATTACCATGGGCAAAGGGGACCAGGTGACGTCACAAAGCTCAAAATCCGCCATGTTTTTTGCTTCACTTTCTGATCAGGAGCCGGTCCTCCAGGAATTATTATATAGCTCAGTGGTCCTCACTCGTTCTACAGAACATCTAAGGTCAGTGGCAGCTGCTGCCCTGTGGGCATGAATACCGATAAACAAATACCAGATTATATTCCGATATGTGATTGAAGGAATGATTGATCTAATCACCAGCCTCGTACCCAGGCGCTTTGAAAGATTTGAAAATGGCGTGCGTGTGCGTCGCGCAGGTGCGTGGGACCACACGTGGGGGGGGAGTGAAAAAATCGCGGGGCTGACTAATCACCAAATTTGTTTACATTTCTCAGGCAAGCTAATCAGAATGCCATATACCAGCTAGGTTATATACCGTATGTGATTATTTCAAGCTATGGTGATAATCAGAAAAGAAAATAATATTCGCTATGTAAAAATTAAATCGTTGGACTCAATATTATGTAAAGTTGTCGCATTCATTCGACCGCAACCGTGAGAAACTGAATATTTCATATTGTATTTCATCCATGATTAATTCTACAGTATTTCATCGATCAATTATACCGCTATATTAATTAAACTCGTTTGATAAGTCGAGTTTTTTTTGAGGACACATGCATGCGTCAGTTTATCTTGATATTCTTACATCCTAGAATCATTAGGGCCATTTACACGAGGAAAAATAAGTCGAGACTTATTTGCCACGTATCAATCGCTCTATTGTGTGTCTTTATTGAAATGCCCCGCTGTAATAAATGACTAAATGAATAAACTGACGTAATTCATTTCAAGGTTTACAAGCTAATATTTGACTTGTATAGCCTTGTATTGACCAATGTATCAAATAAACTTATCATCCCAAGTCAGTTCTTGATAACCACTCAGTCAAATTTCAAATATTTAAACAAACAAGCTGTGTGTGGTTCACACTGATGTTTTAACAACTAATACATGCAGTCTTGTATTCATATGTTGGAATCATGAAATCAAAGCAACGCTCGACAGGTATATCTATATTAGGCAATTCACACCTTTTATCACCAGCAATGACACACCACATAAAACTAAGCATCGATGAAAATGAAATAACCAAGACATCTTCTCTTTTACCAAGCGATTTGAGCTTAGACGAAAGATGATAAATCACGAATGCTCCTAGTCCTTGAAGTTCCGCATTTCATGACTTTACTGACAATCCTAAAGCAAAAACATTTAGCATGACAATATAAAAGGATACTCGTCATAGCTTTTTCGCTAGGGATTGTTAATTATTCATTGTGCCGTCCACACAACAAAAATGCGGCAATTTCTCCCCATGGGTCTGTTTACATGATCCTGGTTACCCGACATCAAACGAAGCGTTTCATAAATTCCTGAGCAGGTTCACGTTTAGCGTTTTCAATTTTTCAATTTACAAAAAAGATGGCGGCGTGTCGATCTTCAAAACAATTTTTTGCAACTTCAAATTCAGTCATTGACAGTCAAGAAAGAATTTTAAAATGTATATTATGTCATATCACATTATCAATTGTTCTCCACACGTCATCCGATTTTTGTCAACAAAACCATGCATAATTATCTGCAAGCGGTAAAATATAGCGACATGCATGTCGATGTAAACAAGTCCTTCGTAAACAAAAACTTTCTTCGAAAACTTTAGCGTGGATACGTTCGTCATAAGGAAGACATTCGATCCTCATTCGATTTCATTATCTTTACCGATTTCAGAAGAATATTTTCCCTCGATATGCCGCTGTACCTTATATTAAGGCGAGCGAGTCGTCTTACAGGTTTACATGCAGGGTGTATCAGATGTATTAAAATATGATGATATTAATTAAAATTCATATGGTTATTTAGCACAATAGTACAATAAAACTTCTAGTAGCTAACAAAAGCTAATATTTTGAATGTTAAAGGCCCCTTTACACGGTGCAATTTTTCTTCCAACTTGCAATGCAATTTTATTCCACTTTTAAAAGATGTAAATTAGCAAAGAGTCTTCGAAATGTAAGTGTAAGAAACGTCATGGGGTGCAATAAAGACAAAAGTTTGGTAGCTGCCAAATTTACATCTCTCAAAAGAAGAATTGCATTGCAAAGAAAAATTGCACCGTGTAACATGGCTTTAGGTGTTGCCTTTACATGAACGATCAAAGTTTATGCATTTCTGATTGGGTTACTAAAAATGTAAACAAACTTGCTGATTGGCTAAAACGAAATGTATACACAGTCAAATCAAACCCGACAAATATAGTGTACATTACTAAAATTATGTTGGCAGAATTTGTTTATATGTATGTACTGCTAAGGAACAATGCCAATGCATGTATGACTATGTCTATATTATAATATTTGTAGAATTTTTTTCACGAATAACTATTCACCACTGAGATCTGCATTGAAAACAGGATTTTGATATTCCACTGTCTGACCACCCTCCTTAATATGACGTTGATTATCATTCGTGACGCGGGGTTGCAATGCCTGATAAACGTTTGCTGGTTCTTTTTTGTCTTGTAACGACATGTAGTTCGATGATTCTTGTCCTTTTTCTATTCCACGTGAACGTGCACCCTCATTTCGCTCAATTTCTTCAATAACATCATCTGGAGTCTCGTAAACAGTTTCATCGTTTGGAGTTCTTTGATCATACTTTGCTCTTTTGTTTTTTCTCCGATCTTTTGAAATAGAATCTATGAAGTTACATGGGAATCTAGCAATAATTTGTACAATCAGCTTTTTTTTAAAGTTTTACACGTTTATACTCTATCTATAACCCATTACTTTTCCATTCCTTATAATCATGCACGAGTATAGGGAAGTGTAAAAATGTAGCTACGAATGTTACAGCAACTACTGATTTTTTTCAAACTTTTCTTTACCAAACTTTCCATAACTTATAATTATTTCCCTGCATGGTAACAAAAAAATATTTTTTTTCTTAATCTCTAAACTTAATCACTATGCTGAAGTAACCAAGTAAATGGCAACTTGGTTTACTTCGAAAACTTTAAACTTACCAAAATCTTTCATTCCGTTCGTCTGTTTTGAGGTTCCATATCCATTATTCACATCTTTATTTTGAAGAAGACGACGTTGGTACACAATAACACCAAGTGAAACCAGAAAACATAAAGCCAGAATAATCAGCGGTATAAGAAAACCCATGCACGTTTTGTCTTCGGCGGATTGTTTAGAAATGTTACATTTCAAACAAACTAGAAAAATGATTTAAGAATCTTTATCTATAGTGGCTCGCACGGTAATCTGCGGTGCAGAGAACAATGAAACAAAAGTATAACTGAAACTTAATAAATAGAAGATCTTCACCTGCAGGTGCTTTGGCTATAGTTTTAAAACTGCTGCTCCATTCCGTCGAGTAGTACGAATCCTTAACAGAAGTAATAAAATCATTGACCGGAATATTAATTCTGGAAAGCAATAGACCCTTTGCATGTTAGACTACTTTTTGATCTGTGCAAAATATTTTACGACATTTCGCAACTAAACTTTGCATTTTTACTAATTTTGGTACGCTCTTTTCAGCTGTAGTGATTTGATTGGATTATTTTGCACCGACCAAAAAGTAGTCTAACATGCAAAGGGTCTATCATTTAGCACAAATTCTAGATCTGCCTGTAATTACTTGGGCAAATATGTACATACATGTACACATTCTTAGTGATTCAATAAATATTTTAAAGCACCATATTTCAAATCATTAACATAATATTTATTTTCTTACTCATTTACCTGACTCTCAAAATATCTCAAAAACACGATATAACTGGAATTGGTTGTCAAAGGTTGGTTAAAGTATTTTTCTGTTTCAAAATTATATTCTTTGCCATCGCCGATCACAAACATCAAAGGAAGATCATCAGTACTTAAATATGCAGTGACATAAGGTTCTTGGGTGTTCGTCTGATATGCCTTGAGTTTACTTGTTTCAATATTTTCGCTTTGTAGTGAGCTGCTTGCGGCTTTTTGAACGATCACCATCACTTGCCTAAATTTATGGAAAATATTTGGTCATAATTAAGGTATAAGATTATTATTCATTACAAGGATCCTAGAGTTGTACAAATGATAAGCTTCAAATTAAACGCGTTGCTGTATGTGTCAACAGGATATATAGGCTTCTGGTTCTGTCAGACTTTATTTATTTATTATTGTAATGTTTGCTTGCAATTGACGTTGACCCGACGCCTGTACATGTAATTCTGAATAAACATTTTGAAAGTTTCAAAAATTACCTACCTAATATAGTTTGCTGCTTTGGGGATGTTTAACGTCAGAGTGTAATAGGAAGTTGTGAGAGGATTCAACGGCTCTAGAAACAATAAACTGGTATAGCATGAATAATAGATTCAAAGTATATATGCATTTAAGTTATATTATACTAAAACATGCTTGGTGATAATGCATATGAACTTATATACCGTGGTCTTTCTTACCTCCATTGGTTATCTTACTCACTACCGAGCTTTTCTCTCCGTAACCAGCTTTTGTGCTCGCTGCGACAGTCACAAAGTACTTCGTAGAAGGCTGAAGGTTTTTCAGAGTAAGTGCAAGCACATTCGTATTTTCCAGCACAAAGCATTCTAAAGGAGTCTCGTTGGTATAAAAGCAAACTTGATATCCAATCAATTCTGCAGTTCTTGAACTTTCTTCAGGAGCCTCCCACGATACTTCCAATGTGTATTTACCACGAGATTTCAAAGAAACATCAAGTGGAGGTCCACTGGGTCCTTTTTTGAACGGGAAACAGATTAGTGAATCAAATAGTGAACCAAATCCAATAGTTTTAAGGCTGTGGATTAAGCTAAGTATCTGATACATCTGATTTGATATAATTATACACGTAAACTTACAGCGGCAATGAAATATTTCAACAAATTTGTATATTCATAATTTTTCACCTGGGGTAACCTTCGTCTTTATACTTTTGCTCCACCCTGTGGAGTAGTAGGAATTCTAGACGAAAGACATGTAGCTAACTTTAGGATCCAATGAAAACAAATTTATTATTTATACAATCCATGCTATAACATTCGTTTAGTTACCTGGCTTTCCAAGAATCTCAGAAACACGTTGTAACTTGTGTTTGGTTGAAGAGGTTGATTGACGTATGTTACGTTTTCATAGTTGTATTTTTTGCCATCACCGATCACGAACGACAAAGGGAGAACGTCTGCTCTTAAATAAGCGGTGATGTAAGGATCTTGAGTGTCTGATTGGTACGGTCTCAATTTACTTGTTTTTATGTCTTCACTTGGTGTTTGACTTCTTGTGGCTCTTTGAACAATAATCAGAACTTCTCTAAATGGAAAAAAAACATGACAGATGTTAACACACACTTGCTTTGACAAAATGCCACACCTAAAATGTACACGAACCTTATATAAGGCGCTGCCTTAGGTATCGTTAAACGAACATCAATGTGGGACATCACAACAGGGTTCACAGGCTCTATCATAAAATAACACATGTTAATTTCACTTTGGAGTAAAAAATTAACAATTTTTACACGTGATCAAATAGTGCATATTCGGCAGTTTTTCTGCCATGCTTTACGTTTCTTTAAAAAGTCCTTTTTTATTTTCTTTACCTCCATTTGTTATTTCACTTATTTCTGAGCTTTTGTTTCCAAAACCAATTTTTGTACCAGCCGAGACTGTCACAAAGTATTTTGTTGAAGGAATAAGATTAGAAATAACGTATGATAAGGCGGATAAAACTTTTATGTTTGAACATTTCGGACTTTCATCATTTTCCTTTGTAGAAAAACAAATCTGATATCCCACCAATTCACCGTTCCAAAATATCTTATCAGGAGCTCTCCAAGAAATTTCGAGCGAGTTTTTACTACGAGATTTAATCATAACACTGCGTGGAGCTCCACTTGGAACTATGATAGTAAGGAATAAAAACAATTATTTTAATTTGAATTAATCAGAAAAAAATCAGAAGCCTTCCCATATTATGCATACCAGCTTCTTTGGTCTTGAACTTGTGGTAAACTATTGTCTGAGTATTCTTTAGTTGACCATCCTGTGTCTTTATGCCAACAACATAATTAGTGTTTGGTGTGAGCTCTCGAAGAATGTATTGATTTGCATAATATGCGCGCGATATTCTTTTGATCTCGGTACTGTTTAAGTAAATGATGAAATGTGTGATAAAAGTGGATGCCTCAGGTGCTGGTATTGTCCATGACAGATGAACAGAGAAATTTGATGGTTTAGCAACAACGTTTTGAACAGGAGCCAGAGATTGGACTGGGAGAAAGATGGAGTTAATTCAGTTTGATGAAACTTTGACAAGTAAAATGACAAGTAACTTGTAAAAAAGCCGCACCTTCTCCGCAGAGCTCTATTCTTAGACAAAAGTCTGTGCTTCCAGTTGATTGTAACTTGATATATCTCACATTATAAATATCAATGTCCGTAGTCGATGCTTGAAAGCTGTACAGGTTTCCTGTTATCTAAAAGAGGATTTAGGAAAAAACACACTTTCTTATTTCATAGGATAAATGTAGAGAATATCGCTTAAAAGCAAGAGATTTTTATCTACGTCCGAGTCAGTACTTTTGCAAAGAAATTATAATTGCAGTCTCCAAATTAAGCTTGATAACCAGCAGACTATTGATCACGTTTCAGAGATACTCACGTACTAACCTGTAAACCACTACCACCGTCTACCAAACTTTCATTATGACTGTATTTCAATGAATATGATCCACTCCACTTCGTCTGATCTTTATCACCCATAACCATAACTCGTGTTATGTGATATTCGTTTTGAAGGTCAATCTTAAGATATTTGTCTCCAGACTCGGTTGGACACCAACCATCGCTAGAAAACCTCACTTCTTTGTACTTGGTATTGTCAGTAGAACCACTTCCAGAAAATATCGCGTCTGGAAACTTGGTGTGGTTCTGTAATAATGCATTCTCGCATATCTTCACTAAAACAAGGAACAGTGTTTGGATATGAACAGTTCATTGGATATGAACTTAATATGGAACGCTGGATGTTTTCTGTTGAGAAATCAGCGTTCTGTTCAATATGAATTTTCTAATGTTACGCAATGTACACATTTGTGGTGATTGTACATCCCAAAATTGTGGGGAGAGAATATATAAGCGTATAGTTGAGAAGTTATGCCGTTCTATGCTTTCTGTTCATAAAACCACACCGAGATATCTCAATAATTTCAAAACAATACTTTATTTCCCTATATGCTTACCAGCTTCTTTGGTCGTGAAGGTTTTGTATTCCACCAAGGAATTCTGAGAATTACCATCCTGTGTCTGTATACCAACAGTATAGTTCTTGTATGGTTCAAGTCCTCGAAGAGTGTACTGACTACCATACATTGCACGAGATATTTTACACACTTCGGTCCCGTTCAAATAAATAACATAATGTGTTATGTACGAAGATTCATTAGGACCTGGTATGTTCCAAGACAGATGGGCAGAATAATCAGATGGTGTGATCATAAACTTCGTTACTTTAGCTGGAGTTTGGGCTAAAGAAACAGAGCACTGCAATTATATACATTAAACTTAAAGAAAAATCCAAGATTAAGATTCTGATCTATTGTTTTTTCGGTAGGATTTTAAAAACAGTAGTGAAACCTTACCTTCACCGCAGAGATCTATTCTCAGACAAAAGAGTGTTGTTGCATTTAGTTTTATCCTTATATATCTCGCATTGTATATATCAACGTCTGTAGTCGATGCTTGATGACTGTTTTGATTTCCTATCACCTGAAAGTGGAATATTTGTAGCATACAATAGAGTTCAAAAGATCTTACACGAACCCAGTAACCGAAAACTTTAACTCACATCAGAAAGTATGAACACTATACAGGATTTCGACAGCTTAGTTTACATTTCATGCTTCAATTGTCATGGTCAAGTTTTCCCAACATCGAGACAGCTAATTGTTAAGGACGAATACGAATTTTAGTGTCACGTTAAAAGCCTATTATCACTACCTTATTGCACGATTTTTATCCACCAAACTTTTATCATGACTGTATTTCAAAGAATATGATTCACCCCAACCTATTTGGGCCTTATCACCCATAGCCACAACTTGAGTTATGTGATATTCGTTTTGAAGGTCAATTTTAAGATATTTTTTTCCAGACTCTGTTGGGCACCAACCATCGCTAGAAAACCTCGCTTCTTGGTACTTGGTATCGTCAGAAGAACCACTTCCAGAAAATATCGCGTCTGGAAACTTGGTGTGGTTCTGTAATAATGCAGTCTCACATATCTTGCCTAAAACGAGAACGGTTTTTTGACTTGACACGTGATTATCGTGTTATTTGTGTTTAAGCCGGATGAATACTAAAATCATTTTAATAACATCCTATATACTCACATTTCACATATGGCGCCTTAACTGTTGTTGTTGTTACAGAGGGATTAAGGTGGACACAACATCTCTCGTTTTGAGGTACGTCATAACATAAGTCACCACTTGCAATTTCACGACCTAGCTCGATTCCCTCAGTCCTAACAATGCTCCCCACGGTCCCTTTAAATCCCATGTGCTGACACAACGATTTTTCAACACTGATGTCCCAGGTTTCTTCTATCACTTTTCTCCAAGCAGAACCATCATTTATTTCAATGAAACCTTCGTTTGGTGACTTTGATAATCTCATGTTGGGAGCTAAAACTGTTGAACAATGTATATCATTTCAAATTAGCGTTATTATCCGAACATTTTGCTTTTGTATCAAAGATCCCAACTTCCTCCATCTGAAATTGCGAGGAATTTCGTGCGCGAGTAATATTTTTAGCGGAAGGCGGTTCACCATCGGGCGAAATTTTTCGATTAAACGATCAGGATCAACTGGATCCGAATCAGTCGACTTCAAACAAATGAAAGAAACCTGAGCGACGTCAAAAACAGTCCTAAAGTTGACTTCTACTAGAACGATTTTTATACATGGAATCACAAAATTTTATTTTTTCTATCATTAGGCAATTTATAGTAATATAAAATCATACCTGTTGTTATGGGATTCGTATAACTATCCACACAAGTGTACTCGATATAAAGTTCTTTTGTAGTATCAGGACAATATTGTGACGAGAGTAAATTATTGTCAATGGTCAGTTCACAAGATCTGTTACCACCACAAAGAGATTTCACTTCACAACTTGCTTGTCGACTACATTTCTTATCAATATTTGCATTGGCATTGAATGTTGCAGCATCAATGAAATTTCCATAATGAGCTTTGTGGATCACCATACGTTGTATTGGAGAACAATGAACATCTTTCATTTTGTCGCCGTACTGAGTCACAGAACCTAACAATGAAGACGTTTATAAAAAATGCACATTCATGTCATATTGGAAACAAACAGAAGAGACACTCGACCCATAGAACGTGCTCTGATTTTTCGCAATAAATTAATGTCGCACAAGCCAGTAATGCGATGCATAATGCGATATGCCTGGCGATAAAAAATAAAAGGCTCCGTCTGACATGATCAGCGCAGCAGGATATTCCCCGTACAGAGATGACATAAAGTTTAACACTAGGTATTACCCCTATCTATAGATTTTCTCTATCCATAGTGTTTCGTAATTATCATTACATGAACATCAAGAGAATGGGAAAAATGAAGAGCACGAAAAGTACAAGTTAAAAGGAATGCTCCATTAGTTAGGCCAGGGCCTTCTCAACTTTATAACTGGGACCCCAGGTTATAAACCCCTAGCTCTTCTTCCGTTCTCATTGATGGATTTTCGCCCCCTCCCGAGTGAATGAAATATTTTCTCTTTACTTCCGCTTTCCCTCTAAATCATGACAAAAGGTCCCTTTTGTCACCCCCTCCCCCGACGAAAAATCACTAAAAAGGCACTAGTTTAGTCCTCTCTCTTTAAACTCTCCCCCCCCCCCCCGCAAACTGTGCTAGTTTACACCGAGCGATTTTAAAAGGCCGGCAAAATATTTTTAAATCAACTAAACAGCAAGATAACGGTGAGCAGTCGGTTTAAAGGATCCCCCTTCTGATTACAACTTATAGACTACAGAATGTATGTAGCACTTATAACAGGAAAAAACGACCCAATGTATAAGTTCAATTGCAAAGTAATTTTGCTTACCGAAAGTAATTTTTTGTGCTGCTACTTCGGTGCATGAAGTATCTTTCACGTCAACATACTGCACACTAGGCTGAACACAATCACCCACATTGTAAAGATATAGAGATCCACCATCTGTTTGTTTTATGCGATGTTTTGTGCTGTTTGCAAAATCTCTCCCAGCCTGATTTTTTCCGTCATATATAAGCAAACGATTGTTGTATCTTCCATATTCAGACACGACGTTCCCTTCTGTCTCGATATTATGCAACACTTCGTTATCCAGGTAACGGAACAGCGCAAAATCATCCAAGCAGTTGGTGACCATTTCAGCCCAATAACGGGAGGCATAGCTATCATGGCTAAAGGTGGGAATTTCAGCTGCGAGACACTTTCCTGACTGAGTGTGTCTAAGAAAAAACCCTTGACAACGGAAGAATAAAGATGCGTTTTTTAACATTCTCTCTAATACAGATCATACGAACTTAAGATGTTCATTCTTGAGGGTGGATAAGAAAGCCAAAAACACCTTTTAAATCATGATCGAAAAATTTTATTCTAACTCACTTTTAGTGTCGACAGGGAAAACTAGAACATGATTTTTAGAAGTGCGGTTAGTTGCAAATATGTTGAATTACTACCGTATTTCCGGTGTTCTTTATACACTTGTGCAAAACATTTTCATTGATGCAATACAACCTTCAAAATAGCAGTGTTGAAGTAGAAAGGACAGTACACTAAGCTTGTATTATTAGCGTGAAAAAACAAATCAAGATGACGTAATAGGGCAAAACGGAGACATGCAGTCAGTTTCTAAATCAACAATCTAAATTTACCACAAACGTACTAAAGCTGACTTTAAACTAAAGCGTAAAAGTAGGAGTAAAAGCAACAGGTAGAGTGGCTCACTCAATAATTATAAGCCCAACCAGGTTCAGACTTGGCATCTTTATTCTTACCTGCTCTTTTAGTTTTATAACTTTTGTAGACCGCTATGGACTTTTTTGAATATCTATCCTGGGACATTATACCAACATTATAATAAGTGTTAGGTTTCAGACCTCGAAGAATGAAATTATTTCCATATTGTATACGAGATATTCTTTCTCTCTTTGTGCCGTTCAAGTAAATGATGAAATGTGTAATATAAGAAGACTTTTTAGCCACTGGAATTGTCCACGATACATTAACAGAATAGAACGATGGTTCGGCGACAATCCTTTGTACAGGAGCCGGCGTTTGGACTGGAACGAGAATACCAAAACGTTTATTCGCTTTATACTACAGCAGGTGAACATGCTTGAGCTGAGAGAATTTAAACTGAAAAAATATCTTATCATAGCAAATTCTTTAGGTTTATTTTTTGTGCCGTATTGTAACCTTCTCTACCTCATCTCTCCCTTCTCTTGCTAACATCAACAGGTAAATTTAAAGGTTTCCGGCGATTAAAGATTCTAGCAACTCACCTTCACCACATACTTCTATTCTAAGACAAAATTTTGTTCCTCCGTTCGGCTCCAACTTTATGTATCTGGCATTATAAATGTCGATGTCTGTGGCCGATGCTTGATAACCGTTTTGATTACCATTTATCTAAAGAAGAAGTTTTGAAAAAAATGAATCACTTTGGTTAAGATTACGTTGCTTGATTATTTTCTCGTCTTGTTGCAGTTCCTTTGATACCGTAAAAATAACAGTAGTTAGTATATTCTATAAGTTCTAGGTTTTACCGCAATATATTTCTCTCATCTGTTCCTATAGTCAGTCCAAAAAGTGCAGGGCATTGCTGCTACAACGATTCGTTTGTTTGAGTATTTTAAAGCGGTTGGTATTAATCTTGACAATGGCATTAATTTATATATTTCCCATTCTTACAGTGGTATATTAATCACGTATCAGAGATACTTACGTACTAACCTGTAAACCACTACTACCGTCTACCAAACTTTCATTATGGCTGTATTTTAATGAATATGATCCACTCCACTTTGTTTGATCTTTATCACCCATAACCATAACTCGTGTTATGTGATATTCGTTTTGAAGGTCAATCTTAAGATATTTGTCTCCAGACTCTGTTGGACACCAACCATGGCTAGAAAATCTCGCTTCTTTGTACTTGGTATTGTCAGTAGAACCACTTCCAGAAAATATCGCGTCTGGAAACTTAGTTTTGTTCTGTAATAATGAGTTCTCACAAATTTTACCTGAAACAGAGTATAGTTTTTAAAAGGTCAGCAAGCTGAACGAAACCAAACGGTTATGTTGTCTGTTTTTAGGATGAAATTCATTAAAAAGATTTGATCAAAATCCTACTCACATGTTACATATGGTGCATCCTCTTTTGATATTGCTACAGAGGGATAAAGATTGACACAGCATCTCTCGTTTTGATGTATGTCGTAACATAAGTCACCACTTACGAATGCTTCACCTTCTATAATTTTCTGAGTCTTACTAACGCTCCCCAGTGTCCCATTGAACCCGAAGTGATGACACAGCGATTTTTCACGAGTGATATCCCAGATTTCTTCTTTCACTTTTCTCCAAGTGGAAGCATTCTTTATTTCAATGAAACCTTCGTTTGGTGACTTTGATAATCTTATGTTGGGAGCTGAAACAAACAAAATACCTAATAAAGTGTATATAATTTCGAATATATTTACTATCTTTTTGGAAAGTCTTGTAGCTTGCAGACAATGAAACCTTCGCTCGGTGACTTTAATAATCTTATGTCGGGAGCTAAAACTGTAGAACAATGTATATCATTTCAAACAAGCGTTATTATCCGAAAATTTCGCTTTTGTACCAGAGATCCCAACTTCCTCCATCTGAAATTTCGTGCAAGGAACATTTTTAGAGGAAGGCAGTTCACCATGAGGCTAAATTTTTCGAATAAATGACCCGGATCAAATGGATCCGAATCAGTCGACTTGTAACAAATGAAAAGAAACCTGAGCGACGTCAAAAACAGTCCTAAGGTTGATTTCTACTAGAACGATTTTTATGCATGGAATCACAAAATTTGATTTTTTTCTATCATTGGATATCTTTTTATAGTAATATAAAATCAAAAAGATTGAACCATAACGCATCATAGCCCACCTGTTGTAATGGGACGTATATAATTATCCACACAAGTGTACTCGATATAAAGTTCTTTTGTAGTATCAGGACAATGTTGTGATGACAGTAAATTATTGTCAATGGTCAGCTCACAAGATCTGTTTCCACCACAAAGAGATTTCACTTCACAACTTGCTTGTCCACTACATTTCTTATCAATATTTGCATTGGCATTGAATGTTGCAGCATCAATGAAATTTCCATAATGAGCTTTGTGGATCACCATACGTTGTATTGGAGAACAATGAACATCTTTCATTTTGTCGCCGTACTGAGTCGCTGAACCTAACAATGGGCACGTTTATAAAAAATGCACATTCATGTCATATTGGAAACAAACAGAAGAGACACTCGGCCCATAGAACGTGCTCTGATTTTTTGCAATAAAGTAATTTCGCACAAGCCAGTAATGCGACGCGTAAAGGCGGATTTACATTGAGTGCAAAATGTCGCGTGATCGATTTTTTGCGATCGCTTTCTTTTAAAATGTTTTCATTCAAGCTGATCTAATGGGATTAATTCCGCTTGACTGTTTGCATTTCAAAAGAAAGTGATCGTAAAAAGTCGATCGCACGATATTTTGCACCGAATGGAAATCCGCCTTAATGCGATATGCCTGGAGATAAAAAAAACTGGCCCCCAGTTATATATAACCCTCAGCCCCTCTTTTAATTAGATTTTTTTAATAAGATTTTTAAATCAACTAAACAGCAAGATAACGGTGAGCAGTCGCTTTAAAGGATTCCCCTTCTGATTACAACTTATAGACTACAGAATGTATGTAGCACTTATAACAGGAAAAAACGACCCAATGTATAAGTTCAATTGCAAAGTAATTTTGCTTACCGAAAGTAATTTTTTGTGCTGCTTCTTCGGTGCATGAAGTATCTTTCACGTCAACATACTGCACACTAGGCTCAACACATTTACCCACATTGTAAAGATATAGAGATCCACCATTTGTTTGTTTTACACGATGTTTTGTGCTGTTTGCAAAATCTCTCCCAGCCTGATTTTTTCCGTCATATATAAGCAAACGTTTTTTGAAATGAGGATTATCAGACACGACGTTCCCTCCTGTCTCGATATTATGCAACACTTCGTTATCCAGATAACGGAACAGCGCAAGATCACTTAAGCAGTTGGTGACCATTTTAATCCAATAACGGGTGCCATAACTATTATCTCGAAAGGTTGGAGTTTCAGCTGCGAGACACTTTCCTGACTGAGTGTGTCTAAGAAAAAACCCTGAACATGCAATAGAAGAATAAAGATGAGTTTTTTAACATTCTCTCTAATACAGATCATACGAACTTAAGATGTTCATTCTTGAGGGTGGATAAGAAAGCCAAAAACACCTTTTAAGTCATGATCGAAAAATTTTATTTTAACTCACTTTTAGTGTCGACAGGGAAAATTAGAACATAATTTTTAGAAGTGCGGTTAGTTGCAAATATGTTGAATTACTACCGTATTTCCGGTGTTCTTTATACACTTGTGCAAAATATTGTTATTGCTGCAATACAACCTTCAAAATAGCAGTGTGAAGTAGAAAGGACAGTATACTAAGCCTTTATTATTAGCGTGCAGAAACAAATCAAGATGACGTAATAGGGCAAAATGGAGACATGCAGTCAGTTGCTAAATCAACAATCTGAATTTACTACAAACGTACTAAAGCTGACTTTAAACTAAAGCGTAGAAGTAGAAGTAAAAGCAGCAGGTAGAGTGGCTCACTAAATAATCAGTTAGCCCAACCAGGTTCAGACTTGGCATCTTTATTCTTACCTGCTCTTTTAGTTTTATAACTTTTGTAGACCGCTATGGACTTTTTTGAATATCCATCCTGTGATATCTGCTTATCTGCTTATGGATTGTCTTAACAGCGCATGCGCAATATACGAAAGTAAACATCCAAGATGGCGTACAGATTGCAAAAACAAAATTATGGATGAAAGTGAAGACGAAGAGGTGTTGTTAGTTTTGTTGCTATTGCGTCAGACTAGACTAAACACTGTTATCCAAGTGCTATTAATTATATTACCTGTTTGAGAAAGCTTACCAGCTATTTCTGCAATAACGCATTCCCGTTTCTCTCTGTTTCTAAAATCTGTAGAATTCATATTGTATAAACACCTGTATTCTGGCCACAGATCAACCAGTTTGTCTTCCAATATAGCCTCAGCCACCAATTCATTTTGCTTTGTTTGCACCGCTATCTTTGATGTTTACTTTTGTATATTAGGTATTCGCTGTTAAGACAATCCATAAGCAGATAGCTTTCAGTTTGCCGCACACGGAAAGATTTTGGCACGCGAGGCAGAAATTATCAAACAGCTAGATATTTGCCGTAAGTGGTGCTATGGTGGTGCGAATGACCAAAGTCGCCTGAAAAGTCGCCCGCACACGAGAGCAACTGTATGGCTTACGCCAATGGCCACGAATGACTTTTTGCTAAGCACATAGCTTGTGCGCCGGCCTTTATTGACCGTTCCAATATAACCAGGGAGCAGCGTGGTAGCGTTTTCAAACTCAACTTAGCATCAAATGTGGTAATTGGTAAAACAACTGCATGCCTAAAATAGACAAAACACTTCTCGACTTTTCGACGGAGTTTTTACCAGGGATTTTTACCCCCCGCTAAACGGATAGCGTATACATTGGCATAATATTTTGATATAATCGTATCTAGACAATAGCTTTCCCTTACAATGAAACGATAAAAAAGCATACATATATTTGGTTATGTAAGGTTTTACTTGTTAGATCTATTTGTCTGTTCTGAACATCGACGTTGTACGACTTAGATAAGGACAGTTCCAAATTCCACCGTTTATTTATAAGCAATGCATTTCAGCATTCCATGATTTGGCTATAGACAACGTCTATGCTGAAGATTGATCAAAACATTGCAGGCGTCAGGATTCCAAACATTGACATGACCAAAGAAGCGAAAGCGGTCTGTTAATTTCTGGACTTATTTACATGCATGGGATTTAAGGCTGGCGCACAACAGAGCTATGTCAGCCTATACGTGCTTAGCAAAAAGTCATTTGTGGCCAGTATAGCGTACGCCAGTTGATGTCGTGTGCCGGCGACTTTTCCGCCGACGAATGACGAATTATACTGTGGACTGCAGAAGGCGGATTTCCACTTACTGCGAAATCGTTCGCTAGCGAAATATTGGCATATTTTCTTTTGAATTTAAACAGCATAAAAAAATTAGTGCGACTTGAGTGTTCTCAATTCAAAAGAAAATATGCCGAAATATTTCGCCAGCGATCGATTTCGCTGTAAGTGGAAATCCGCCTTTACACTTTTCAATAAAACCTAAATATCTTACCTTGAATCGTTATTACTGATATATAAAAGAAAAGCAGCCATCGATAAAATAACCACGACATTTTGACAACTGACAACTGACACAAATAGCTCAATAATACGTCGTCATACTTCCGCATTTTTCTGTACAAAACAAAATACTTTCATTCTAATAACTATTCAAGCCGGTATCGGGTTATGGCACAATACTTGGATTTCTATAGCCATCATTGAGTTCGTTGATTCACATTTCAACTTATTTAATTCTCTCACAAGTAATCGATATTCCCAACTGAACTTGTGTAGTCGTGAAAAGAAATGTTGAAATATATCCTCAAATCCTAGAGAGTAGAGGCTAAAAGCATAATAGGTGTTGAAATCTACTTTATGCAAAGTTCAGACAATGTTTTCATTTCTTAGACCCCGTTTACACTAGAATGAAAGTTTCCGGATTTGTAAAATTATCCGGATTCATTGTTACACACATGTATCGGATTCGTCAGGTGTTTACACTACACTTTAGTTGTCTCTGCATGTATGCGGATTTGTCCGTTTACACTTACATTACTTGTTCTTGGAGAATTGTTTGGTCGTCACGTTTGAATTTCTTCGGATTCGTCGTGCAAAGCGTTTACACAAGAAAATTTTCCGGATTCAAATGTTTCTGGATACGAAGTTTCCACAAACTTTTACGCATTCAAAGTTTCCGGATACGGCTTAAAACCGAGTACATTTTCCATCGGATTCGTTGCTGCGTGTATAAACAGCAACATGAATCCGGTACTAAAACATTCCGCTTTCGTGATGATTCGCTTAATCACCCTGTACGTCGACCTCGATTCCATACTTTACACTAAGCCTTTTGTCTACACAACATAACAATCTGACCGCCAAGAAACCTTATTTAGCATCTCTCTACTCGCTATTTTTTGCATGTTCTAGGCTACATCATTCTGTATAATTCAAATATCGTATTTGCGCAGTAAAGTCCAACCATTAAACAGAGCAAACAAAGGTATTCGCTTCCCATACTATCAGCGAGGCTTCAGCTGCAAAACACTTCCGGGACTATTATGCCTGAGAAAATCATTAATTATCACTATACAGGGTGTCCCAAAAAAAACGAAAACTATTGAAATCACTCATTGTTATAATTTGAATGCCGTGTTCACGAATTTCAGCCCGTGGGGATTTAACGCAACTTATAAAATGCTAAATGCTTTGTGTTGCTAGAGAAAGGGGACATGTCGAAGGTCATGGTGCTTGTAAATATTGTTAATAAATATCATTTTTGCGAACAAGCAAATTTGACTGCATCATATGCATGCATAAAAATGCTTATGGCAACCCCGATTTATACACTTGTGGGCCCAACAGAGTGCTTAGGCATTCAAACTCTAACAATGGCATTGTTATGGGTGATTTCAATAGTTTTCGTTTTTTTTGGGACACCCTGTATAATTATAATTTAAATGTACCGTAACTTCTTTTGTGATGGAAGCCAGGGGCGGACTGGCCTATACATGATTCACCGGGAAAAATAAAAAAGGGGGCGCCATTTGTAGCTCTAACATGAGCAACAGCTATTGAAAATACGTGTGCTGCCATGTCGCGTTTAAAATTTGACCACTACAATGTTCGCAGTTTCAATTGATACATGATTTAGAACAGATTATCTTTCCTGCATGTGTTTTACTTTCAATGGTTTTATCATTTCTTCCATAATTTTCTCCAAAATGGGGCGCCAAACGGCATGTAAATCAGGGGCGCACCGGGAAATTTCCCGGTATCCCTGTGGGCCAGTCCGCCCCTGATGGAAGCTGTTAGTTGTACATCGTCACTGTGGTGAACCTGAAGAAAAACGTTTTTAATTAAGTGGTGCACGCGATGAACGTATTAGCAAATATAGCTCTACACATCCTCGTCACCAGGGCCTAGCTCCGTTGCTCTCCACCAGGATAAGCTTCTTCCGATGGCTTTCGTTTCGAGATTGGGATGAGCTCTTTAACGTTTCGAGTCTTGCTTTTTAGTTTTATGCCTGTATTATATTATCTGAAGAAAAATAAACAATCTTATCCATTAATCACAATACCATTGAAAATATTGAAATGTTTTATATATTCGAATATTGAATACACAGATAAATACGATCCCTTGCAAATTTAATATTGATCGCTTATATTTATCTCATGATAAAAAATTACGAGCTATATTTAACTTTATGAATATTTTCATTCATTCCATTCAGTGGAAAATACGTACTAGCGATGTTATATCCGTGGGGAACTCTTTCATCGACTATTCGCGATGCATCCAATTCCGAAAACGAATATTATGTAAATTCACTCACATGGCGAATTTTGCGGCGCTAAAAGACTACCAGAATATTTCCCTGCATATATATCATTAGCTCTGACAAATTTTCTATATAGTTTGTGCTTTGCGTTTAATTGTGTCGAAGAAGTCTTCGAAATGTAAGTGTAAGAAACGTCATGGAGTGCAATAAAGACAAGTTTGGTAGTTGCCAAATTTACATCTCTCAAAAGAAGAATTGTATTCCAGGAAAATTGCATTGTATAACATGGCCTTAAGTGTTGCCTTTACACGAACGAACGTAACGAGTTACTGCGAGTCTGTCGACTATATTGTCATTGTATAAACAACGAGGAATTTTGTTTACAACTAATCACCATATTTGGTTACATTTTTTAAGCAAAGCCAATCAGAATGCCTAAATTTTTAGTACTTCATGTAAAATGATATGTGTTGTACTTCTTATCAAAGTTTATGCATTCTGATTGGGTTACTGAAAATGTAAACAAACTTGCTGGTTGGCTAAAACGAAATTCCCCCTTGTTCATTGTATACACAGTCAAATTAAACCCGACAAATATAGTGTACATTACTAAAATTATGTTAGGAGAATTTTTTTATATGTATGTAATGCTAAGGAATGCCAATGCATGTATGACTATGTCTATATTATAATATTCAGTAATACATGCATTTTTAGTAAATATATCAGTAAGAATTAAAATCTCAATTGAAGGCAACATTTTCGTATTCCATTGATTCACCACTCCCCTTAGGATGACTTTGACCATTATTGGTCCCGGGGGTTTGCAGTGACTGATAAACGTTTGCTGGTTCTCTGTTGTCATTCAACGGCATGTAATCCGATGATTCCTGTTCTTTGTCTGTCTCGTATGGAGCCTCATGTTGCTCAATTTCGTCTGGAATCTCGTACACAGTCACAGGGACACAGTCATTCGCATTTTCAGTCTGGCGACTGGTAGGGGTTTGAATGGAATCTATAGATAAAAATATTAAATGGAAACTAACAGATTAAAAGACAAACATTTAAACTGTACATGCAATAGGATTGTGGCTGATTTTGAACGAAAAGAAATTATATCAAAAAGGTAAGCGAAGACGAAAGAAATTTGATTCTTAGCTCGAACAATGACAACACTGACAATTCTTCTCGTTCATAAATTCTAAAATGCACGTAAAGTAAAATGTGGTTTATTTACCCAGCTCCATTGTTTGGCTAACTCCTTCAGAGCTAGAATAGTTGTTTTGACGACGACATAGATGTATTATTACGCCAAACGAGAGAAGAAGGCACAATGCTAGAATACTCAGTGGTATAAGGAGATCAAGCCGGGTTTTGTCTGCCGTAGACTCCTGAGCTGACTGTTTCCCACTTCCATCTATAAAGAAACTCCGGTTCTCATTAAAATATTTAAGATATTTATCAGTTTGTAAACAAAAAATTATGAAGAAACGAATACAGATAAGATATTCTAACGTACAATGAAAACTCTTGAATTTCGGGTAATTAGTTACCTGAAGATCTCCCCATTGTGTAAATGCTACCACTCCACTCTGTCGAGTAGTATGAATCCTAGGAAACGGTGATATTTGCATTGTCGCTTTCTACACATTCAAGTCCTCTTCCTGTAACCTACTTAAATATTTTAATTCCATTGAAATACTCACCTGACTCTCAAAAAACCTCAAGAACACATTATAACTTGAATTTCTCGTTAAAGGTTGGTTGCGGTAGTTATTTTTGTCAGAACTGTAATTCTTGCCATTTCCTATCACGAACGTCAAGGGTAAAACATCAGCTTTCATATAAGCAGTGATGTATGGATCTTGTGTGTCTAGCTGGTAATTTTTGAGATCACTTGTTGTGATGAGCTCGCTCGAGATGTTTCTACTTGTGGATCTTTGGACGATGATTAAAACTTCCCTAAAACATTAATTAACATGATTAAAACGTCAGAAAGAGAGAAATTGGTGACGATATACTTACTTGATATATCCTTCTGGTCGTGGTATGCTCATTGTCAAAGTATAATAGGAAGTTGCGATTGGAATAACTGGTTCTAAATATATATTCAAATCCAGAGATTACCAAAGATTATCAGAGTGTTCATCGTTTAAGGGTATTTCCGTGCGGCGGCACTATACGCAGGCCTGCATGAAATTTTACATTGAAATCGTCATTACCTCCATTTGTTATTTTGCTGACGTTCAAACTCTTCTTCCCATGACTAAATTTTGTGATGGCTGAAACCGTCACAAAGTACTTTGTGGAAGGTCGAAGATCGGTGATTGTAAATGAAAGTGTTTTTGTGTTGTTATGGAGTAAACATTCTGGACGACTTAATGTATCTCTTGTAGAAAAACAAACTTCATATCCTGTCAATTCATCGTTTCTTGTACTCACAGGAGCTGTCCACGAAATTCCCAACGATGTCGTACCGCGAGATTTGAAAATCACATTCTGTGGAGGTTCGCTAGAAACTGGAATAATTAGCGGGAATGTGAAATCCGGGCGAATAAAGTTTTAAATCAAAATTAATAACGACAAACTTAATTATTCATTAATTTTATTATTCTTCATATCATGTTCATCCTCGCTCATTCAAGATTCTACTATATTATGCACAATGATTTCCTCGTTCGCTGCCCTCACTCGTGAAAATTTGTGATGTTTATAAAATTATAATTTACAATGGCCTGTATACCGGAGCTGGCATTTGGACTGGAATGAAAAGAGAAGTAAACACAAGTTACGCTTGAGCTGGGAGGATTTGAACTGAAAAAATATTTCATTACAGTAAAGTGCATTTTGGCTTTTTGACAATTTAAATATGGACAAAGGTTTTGTCTTCAAGTTGGTGTCATATTTACCACTGAAACCTTCTCTACCTCGTTTCTTTCTTCTCTCGCTAACATTAAGCTGTCCGATATGATTTCTGTATTAACAGGTTTCGGGCGATTAAAGATTCTACCGACTCACCTTCTCCACACACTTCTATTCTAAGGCAAAAGTCTGCTCCACCGTTTGACTTCAACTTTATGTATCTGGCATTATAGATATTTAGGTCTGTAGCCGATACTTGATAACTGTTTTGATTACCATTTATCTAGAAGAAGTTTCGAAAAAAAATGAATTACTTCAGTTAAGATTACGTTCCACGATTGCTTTCTGATCTTTTTCATGCATAACGTAGCTTGCACCAACGTTGGTTGCAGTTGATATAAACAACAACGGCTAGAAGTTAGTAAATCTTGACAGTAAAAAAGTTAGTAAATCTTGATAACTTCACTCATTATGATATTGACATTAATCTATATATTTCTTATTCTTATACACCTGCACTTCATCACTGCCATCCACCAAACTTTCATCATGACTGTATTTCAATGAATATGATCCACTCCACTTTTTCTGATCTTTATCACCCATGACCATAACTCGTGTTATGTGATATTCGTTTTGAAGGTCGATCTTAAGATATTTGTCTCCGGACTCTGTTGGACACCAACCATCGCCAGAGAACCTCGCTTCTTTGTACTTGGCATTGTCAGTAGAACCACTTCCAGAAAATATCTTGTCTGGAAACTTAGCCTTGTTTTGTAATAATGCGTGCTCGCATATCTTGCCTAAAACAGAAAACAGTGTTTTGAAAGGTGACCGGGAAGCCGAACCAGACCAAAATGTCATGTTATTAGTTTTTAAGAGCCTAAAACCGACTAAAATCGTTTTACCAAAATCCTACTCACATGTTACATATGGCGCATTAAAGGTTGATGTTGCTGTGTAAGGATAAAGATGGACACAGCAACTATCTGTCAGAGGTGCGTCATAACAGAGGTCACCATTTACGAATTCCTGACCTGACTTTGTTCTCTCAGTCTTAACCACGTTCCCTGGAGTCCCATTAAATCCCAAGTGCTGACACAGGGATTTTTCCCGAGTGATGTCCCAGATTTCCTCCCTTACTTTTTTCCAAGTGGAAAAATTCTTTATTTCAACGAAACCTTCGCTGGGTGACTTTGATAATCTCATGTTGCGAGCTAAAACCATAAAAAATACTCTTAGTACCGTGTGCATATAATTTGGAATATATTTATTGTTACCCGAAAAGACTTCTACAACGACAGGCTATCGAAAAACACAAAAAACTTCATATATTTAATTATTAAAACATTGTGGCATGCAAACAATCATGGGCGCTCAATTTTGCATTCCTCTACAATGTGCTGTACCTGTTTTTATGGGATTCAAATAGACATCCACACAAGTGTACTCGATATAAAGTTGGTCTGTGTTCGTAGAACAATATGGCGATGATAGCAAAGTACTGCTAATGGTCAGCTCACAAGCTCTCTTTCCACCACAAAGAGATTTCACCTGACAACTTGCTCGTTGACTACATTTCATATCAACAGTTGCATTGGCATTAAAACTCCCGCTATTATTGAAATCACCATAATGAGCTTTGTGGATCACCATACGTTGTTTTGAAGAACAATGAACATCTTTCATTTTATTGCTGAACTGAGTCACTGAGCCTGTCAATAATGGCAAAAATGCTTGTGAATAATATTGTGGACGTGCAGTATGAATGAATTGTCACATTTGATTTGACAAGTTCATCACGAAAAGGTTCTGTGTTCAGTGGGTTGGGTAAAACACATCATAAAAGATATCTGGTTTAGATAGTTACAAAAGTACGAGTATTATATACTTAATGTACTGTATGCTGCCGAGGGAAATAGCGAGTTTTGTTTTCCCAAGAGTCTGAATGTTTGACATTGAGACTCGAGAGAAAACAAAACTCACTATTTCCCGAGGTGTAGCGAACATTAAGTGTTTTGTTATATAGGAACAAAAACATACATGTTACACGACAATTTCATTTCAAAAAACTTTGTTATGACAATATGCGGGCAACAATTTTTCACTTGTTTCCCTGGCGGGAAACATTGCATTTATTTAAAGTCATGTGAATACGAATTAACCAATCACATTTAAAATACACAGCACCAATACAACAATGAAGTGTATACGTAAACGTTACATCAAGTTATACGTCATATTATACTTACCAAATGTGAACTTTTTTGCGTTGTTGCAACTTGCTTCTGGTACTACAGTCACTATAGCGCCTAGACCATTAGACTGAACACAATACTTTCTTTCGTAAAAAAACAGAGATCCTGACACCTTTTGTTTAATACTATGCTGTTTTTCCTTTTCATATGGTATTGCAACAGGTTTAACGCCGTCATAAACGAGCAGATTGTCACCAAATGTGTTATCGTTTGGTTTACAAAAAAGCGAACCTCCCTTGTCGACATTATGTATCACTTCTGTCTTGTTAATATAACGGAACTGTGCACTACTCTTCAAGCAGTTGTCGAACATTTTAGCCAAATAACGTTTTGCATAATTACCATACCCAATATAACTATCATTAGATGCAATACACTCTGAGGTTTCAGTCTGCCTGAGAAAAAATTCCCAGGAATCTGCAAGAAAAAAATAAATCGTGAACTAAACAGTGGCAGTGCAGTAGTTGAATGTGAATAATTTCATCCTCTTTCAGAAGCAATAACTACAAGAAAAGTTGCAAAGTATTGAAGTGCATGAAATACACTCGAGGTGAAAAAAGTGTAAACAATGCTTAGAAATGGCTTAACTTAATACTGTATATATGCCCTTGAATTTGAATGACATGAAGTAATCCTGAATCCTGAATTAAACAGTGCAGTAGTTGAACGCGAGTAGTGTTCCATGTTCTCATCTCTACGAGTTTTTACCAGGGGTTTTTGCCCGCCCGGGTTTCTACCCGCCCCTCTAAACGGATGGCGTATGCATTGGCATAATATTTTGATATAACATTTAATATTCATTTTTTGTAAACTTACGTTCTGATTGGTCGATTTGTACCACGTGAGCGTATGTTATATAACAAAAACGGCACGGCAGTGCCGTTAATATATGTTATTGACTGAGCGAGAGGTCCGTACAGGAGGATACTGGTCGAGTTTTTTTTTCTCCTGTATGGACCTCGCCTAAATGCTCGGTCCATACAAGCGAAAAATAAACTCGACCAGTATCCTCCGAGAACGAGACCAGTATCCTCCTGTACGGACCGAACAAGCTCAGTCAATAAACTATTATTATTATATGACTAGTGTTTGTTTTTGTAAATCCTGCAATTTGATTGGCTGCTGACGAGGCGGGATTTTCCCATATTGCCCACGGGCAATACGCTCAATTTTTATTGCCCTCGGGAAAAACAACAGCAATTCGAAATGAATTATTATTCGTGTTTATGGTTTTCCCAAATTAAGTCATATAATAAATAACTTACTGACTTCGATTGTTCGGTCTGTACGGTAAAATATCAAACCTCGGTCGTGCCGTATTGACCTCGCTATCGCTCGGTCAATACGGCACGACCTCGGTTTAATATTTTACCGTACAGACCTCACTCTCAGTCAGTAAGTTCTTATTATATGACTAAAAACGATTAAAATTCCCAACTAAAAAATTCCCGCCGAACCTGGCCGGTCCGTACTGTTGGTTACCGACCTCTCAGGAACCAATCAGAATGCTTGATTTTAGTTGATGGACCGATGAACAATATCTAGTCATATAATAATAGGATTTATTGCACTATCAAAATGGCGGCAACAAACAAAAAAATTGCCGAACTTAGTTAAGAGGAAAGTAATGTAATTATAGATGAATCCACACAGAAAAATATACTAAACGGGCAAACCGACTTGGGGTGTTTTAGTATTTAAAGGTAAGCATGTGTTGTTTAGTTAAGTTTAAAAATGATATAAAGTCTTTACAAGTTTACTCAAAATGAATATTAAAAGCATTGAAGCACTCTTTGTTTGTGCATTATCAGATTTTACATGCATTCGTTCACAAACAAGGAGCTCGAAGTTCAATACTGCACTCGGCTACGCCTCGTGCAGTATTGAACTTCTCGTTCCTTGTTTGTGAACTCGTGCATGTAAAACCCGATATTGACAATAGCTTTCCTTTACCGAATGAAACGATAAAAAAGCATACATGTATTTCGTTATGTTAAGTTTTATTGGTTAGATCTAATTGTCTGTTCTGAATATTGATGTTGTACGATTTAGATAAGGATGGTTCAAAACTCCCCGTTTATTTACAAACCATGCATGCCAGCAGTCCATGATTTTAGGCGCCATAGTCATAGACAACGTCAAAACATTGCAGGCGTCAGGATTCCAAACATTGACATGACCAAAGGAGCGAAAGCAGATTGTTGATTTCTTCACTTATTTCATTTATTCACGTGGATGGGATTCAAGGCCGCCGCACAATAGAGCTATGTCAGCCTTTGTGCTTAATAGCAAAAAGTCATTCGTGGCCATTAGCGTAACCCAATTGCTCTCGTGTGCGGGCAGGGCGGTTATAAGATAACTTATAACCGCCCTGGTGCGGGTCACTTTTCCGGCGACCTTTGGTACGAATGACCACGCCAGCACACGAGAGCAAGGCTTTCGCCAATGGCCACGAATGACTTTTGCCAAGCACATAACTCCAGTGTGCGCCGGCCTTTAGACAAAGATTTTTGTCATGCGAGCATTTTAACAGTTCAGTTTACGTTATACTGTGGACTGCAGCTTCTCTTATATACTCTACGATAAAGCCTAAATATCTTACCTTCAATCGTTAATACTGATATATAAAAGAAAAGCAGCCATCGATAAAATAACCACGACATTTTGACCTGTCTTCCTAACTGACACGCATCGCTCAATAAGTCGTATACTTCCGCATTTGTCTGTATGAGAAAAATACTTCAATTTTCGGACCACTGCACAATACTTGGATTTCTATAGTCATAGGTATTTATAGAAGTAACCAAAGCCATCGAATTCGTTGATTCACATTTCATCTTCTTTCTCTCACAAGTGATCGATATCCTCAACTCATCTTGTGTATAGTCGTGAAAAGGAAAGTTGAAATATCCACAAATCCAAGAGAGTAGAGGCAAAAAGCATAATTGATGTTGATGTTGAAATCTATTTCATGCAAAGTGCCGACAATGTTATCAGTTTTAATACCCATGCCATGCATATCCACCTCGATTCCATACTTTACACTATGCCTTTTGTCTACACAACCTAACAATCTGATTGCCGGGGAAACCTTAGCGCCTCTCTACTCGCTATTTTTTGCATGTACTAGGCTACATTATTTTATATATGCATCATTCTGTATGAATCAAATATCGTATTTGCGCAGTAAAGTTCAAGCAATTAAACAGCTCAGACAAATGTACTTCCGGGACTATTATGCCTGAGAAAATTATTAATAATAGCATTATGTAATTTATGTTACACTATTATCAATATAATTATAATTTCAATATACCGTACGTAATTACCTCCGCTAGGAGGTTATGTAATCACCTCCGCCAGGAGGTTATGTAATCATCTGGGTTGTCCTTTTTCTGTTCCACGTGAACATGCAGGCACCTTCATTTCGCTCAATTTCTTCAATAACATCATCTGGAGTCTCGTAAACAGTCTCATCATGTTGAGTTGTTTGATCATACTTTGTTTGTTCTCGGATCTTTTGAAATAGAATCTATGAGGTTACATGAGAATTTAGCAATAATTTATACAATAAGTTTTTTTTACGTTTTTACCACTTCGTGAACATTAAACTTACCGAACTCTTTCATTTCGTTCGTGTTTTTTTAGGTTCGATATCCATGATTCACATCTTTATTTTGAAGAAGACGACGTTGGTACACAATAACACCAAGTGAAACGAGAACACATAAAGCCAGAATAATCAGCGGTATAAGAAGACCCATGTGTGTTTTGTCTTCGGCGGATTGTTTAGAAATGTTACTTTTCAAACAAACTACAAAATTAATTTAAGAATTTTTATCTGGCTCGCACGTTATTCTACGGTGCAGTGAACGATGAAACTGGAAATTAATAAATAGAAGATATTCACCTGCAGGTGCTTTGGCTATAGTTTTAAAACTGCTGCTCCATTCCGTCGAGTAGTACGAATCCTTAACAGAAGTATTAAAATTATTCACCGGAGTATTAATTCTGGATACTACATACATATACAAAACTTTTATGTTTGAACATTTCGGACTTTCATCATTTTCCTTTGTAGAAAAACAAATCTGATATCCCACCAATTCACCGTTCCAAAATATCTTATCAAGAGCTCTCCAAGAAATTTCGAGCGAGTTTTTACTACGAGATTTAATCATAACACTGCGTGGAGCTCCACTTGGAACTATGATAGTAAAGAATAAAAACAATTATTTGAATTTGAAATATTCAGAAAACAATCAGAAGCCTCCCCCCCACACATTATGCATACCAGATTCTTTGGTCTTTAACTTGTGGTAAACTATTAATTGTCTGAGTATTCTTTAGTTGACCATCCTGTGTCTTTATGCCAACAACATAATTAGTGTTTGGTGTGAGCTCTCGAAGAATGTATTGATTTGCATACTTTCTTATTTCATAGGATAGATTTAAAGAATGTCGCCTAAAAGCAAGAAATTTTTATCCGCGTTCGATCCAGTGCTTTTGCAAATAAATTATAATTGCGGTCTTCAAACTAAGGTTGAATGCAGCAATACATTGATCACGCATCAAGGATACTGACCTACTAACCTTTAAGCCACTACTAGCATCTACCAAACTTTCATTATGGCTGTGTTTCAGTAAATATGATCCATTCCATTTCGTTTGGTCCTTATCACTTATAACCATAACTCGCGTTATGTGACATTCGTTTTGAAGATCAATTTATCAATTGATCAATTTTTCACCTCGGGTTACCTTCGTCTTTATACTTTTGCTCCACCCTGTGGAGTAGTAGGAATTCTAGACGAAAAACATATAGTTAACTCCGTTATCCAATGAAAACAAATATATTATTTATACATACATACATGCTATCACATTTGTTTAGTTACCTGGCTTTCAAAGAATCTCATGAACACGTTGTAACTTGTGTTTGGTTGAAGAGGTTGGTTAACGTATGTACGTTTTCATAGTTGTATTTTTTGCCATCACCGATCACGAACGACAAAGGGAGAATGTCAATTTATCAATGATTAATTTTTGAAGATATTTATCTCCAGACTCTGTTGGACACCAACCATCGCTAGAAAATCTCGCTTCTTTGTACTTGGCATTCTCAGTGGAACCACTTCCAGAAAATATCGCGTCTGGAAACTTAGTTTTGTTCTGTAATAATGCATTCTCGCATATCTTGCCTAAAACCGAACAAAAAGTCAGATTGGTTGCCTTTTAGGCCCCTAAAGTTTCAGTAAAATCCTACTCACATGTTACATATGGTGCATCAACTGTTGACGATGCTACAGAGAGATAAAGATGGACACAGCATCTCTCGTTTTGAGGTACGTCATAACATAAGTCACCACTTACTAATGCTATACCATCTTCAATTCCCTGAGTCTTACTAACGTTCCCCAGTGTCCCATTAATCCCAACAACCTGACAGAGCGATTTTTCACGAGTGATATCAAAGATTTCTTCTTTCACTTTTGTCCAAGTGAAACCATTTTTTATTTCAATGAAACCTTCGTTCGGTAACTTTGATAATCTTATGTTTGGAGATAAAAAAACAAAATACTTAATAAAGTGTATTATAATTTTTTGAAAAGCCTTGAAGCTTGGAGACTATTGATAAGCGCTTCATAATGAAATTTATTGAGTTTCCATTAAAGACGAGCGTTAATTACTTTTCGCGCAAAGCGACATGACTTTCGTTAATCCCGTTTTACACGAGACTAATTTATTCTTTAAGATACTCAAATTTATGGTTCTTAATATATATCACAGAACGGGATCAGTGAAACTTTTAAATAAAGTTTTTTATTACCATCCCGGTAGAGGGAGACTTGACAAACTAATTGAAACTTCTGACTCAGTACCGTAGGAGAAAACATTTGGCGTTCAATGCAAATTTACATCAAATGTCGTGGTTGATTAATTAAATATGGTCGAATCTTTAAGGGTATGAAATCAGCTTCTGGAGCTTGTTAATTCATGCATACATTTTAGGGTGATCTTCATATCCGTCCGTCAAGCACGTGGTGACGTCCATCCCTAACCACTTTTCAAGCCAGTTCCCCCCTCCCTCCCCCCTGGGCCATAGCACGAGTGGACCTTACCTACTATAAGATTGTTTCCCTTCATAAAAGAAAACACCTTATTACTTGAAACTACTTGGAATTGCAAAAAAATGGGAATAAAAAAATTGTGAATGATTTTTATTTTAGAGTTGTGGTATCAGATACCTATCAATATCTACTAAAATATCTATTAATTTACCTAAATATTATTACTTATTTCATGCATGATGTCTATACCACAGTTGTTCTCATTCCAAATGTAGCACTGACATGGCAAGCTCGTACAAACATAAGGTAATATAAAGTTTCACTGGTGAAAAAAAATAGAAAATCTTGAGCAGCTAACAAACTTTCCAGGGCTGTAGCACAGAGAGGGCCAACAGTGGGGAAGGGGGGGGGGCAGTCACAAAAATGCTTCAATTGCTAGGGCTGGGGAGCTGGCCAAACCACACCCTTTCTCTTACATTCTCTAATGTTTTCCTTGATTTTTTTAAGGGGGGTGGGGTATGAGGCAGGAGCAGCCCCTCCCCAAACTCCTTCCCTGCTATCCCTGCTACAGCTTGCCTTCAGTTCAGTAACTATTTGTTTTAATATTTCTTTTTAGAAACTGGATGAAATCCATACAATTATTGTAAAATAAACAACAAAAGATAGTATTTGGCTAAAGTCTCTTAGTTCTGTTAAAAAACTCAAAACCAACAAAAAAACACCAATTATTTTTAAATAATTAAAATATTAAAATATTAATAATATTACCTGGATTAATAATATTACTTGTTAACTATGCAAGGAATATAAAAGTTAATATTCGATAAGCTGGAAATAACTAACTGCAACAGGCTAGCTAGTACATAACCAAATAAAAATTGTTAGTTTTGTTCCGGAATTACCCATTCTGAATGGGTGCTTACTAAAGAGTTATCTTATTAGAAATTCTATACCAAGTTTTAAGCGGAGAATCATGTAGCTATGGGTCTGAGTTGGCTATAGCCCCCAAATAATTTTGCAGAGAATGTACTACTTGGAAAAATGTAATATGGATTGATAGGAAAAAACACATTCCTGGTGATCTTAGAAGTTCAAAGTTTCAAAACCTTCCGTTAAGTGGCATTTAATTGAAATACAAAATGAGTTTTAAATGGGCAAGTGAAAAACTAAGGCTCCCAAGGTGAACCAATTTCCTGCTGAAAATGAAGGGATCCTTGCCCTACGGGATTCCATTTTCTCTTTACTTCACAAAGGCGAGGATAATTCACTCCATAGTAATTCTCAGCCCAGTTTTTAAGGCTGCGGTCCATATAGTTAACATAACTGCCAAGAGCACATCCTGACTCGTGAACAGCATTATATGTTGAGGTAGCAAATTTTGAGACTTCATCTCTCTGTTTTAGGTTATGGAACCTGCCATATGTATAAAAACTGTATTGAGCAGAGCGGTAGGCAAAAGCGGTTGATGTGGCAGAATGCTGCGAGATATCACCACCCATGTGTACAAACTCAAGAAGGCATTCTTTTGGTATGTCAAGGTCAGCAAAATACTTGGCCAAGGATGGTGGTAAGGTGTCAATCATAACTCCTTTGACATAAATGGGTTCTACTTCCTGGTGTACAAAACCATGTCGTTTGCTGTATTCTTTAGTAAACTGTAGGTAAGATGTAAATATCTGAGTTTTTTTCAAATATCTGAGTTTTTTTTTCTGAGTTTTGGGAACAGGTGGATGGAGACCTTCAAGGCTTGATAGCACTTTGGCTTCATGGACATCTGAGTATACAGCATCCAAAGTAAGCACTTTTTTCCCAAAGTTCCCATGAAGTGCCATGTCAAGGTTGAGTTCTTTTGGTAACTTGTGTAAATTTTTACCGACAAAATCAAGACTTTTCTTGCTTTGATCAGTTGTATCATATATGAGACGAGTCCAGATAAACTCTTTTGGTCGCGCACACACTTCTAAACTAACATCAACCAAGATTCCAAAATTGCCGCCCCCTCCCCCTTTCAAAGCCCAAAAGAGATCTTCGTTTTCTTTCGGAGAAGCTGTCACAACCTTGCCTCCGTCAGCTGTAACCATGGTAAATGACATTGCCTTGTCACATGCCAGCCCGCCATATGCTCGTGACAACATGCTGTACCCGCCACCAAGGATGTAGCCGCCGATACCTACTGCTGGAACACATCCCCCTACAGCCACATAGCCAGTGTCATCCAGAGCACAATACACATCCCCCCAGCTCGCACCAGCCTGGACGGTGACAGTATTTCCTTTAAGGTGAACCTCATTCATGTTCTTAAGATATATGACAAACCCATTACTGTCAGTGCTTGAATAACCAGCAAAGCAATGGCCGCCGGATTTAACAACCACTGGAACCCCAGTCTTGTTTGCAACTTGGAGACAGCGCTTGATGTCTTCGGTGTTTTTGGGTAAGGCAACAAAAGCTGGATGCTCGTAGCTGTACGCAGGATTGTATATTTTCACTGCATCCTTATAAAGCTCTGGTTCATTTGAAGTCACGGCGATATCTCGAAGTTGCTGTAGTGCATCGTTTATAGGCCTGCTGCATCCATGTACCATTTTGGAAATAGCTGCGCTCTCAAGTAATACTTTATGGGATAATCCATAACGCGTAAGTCGGCGTAAACCTCTGGATACATGCAACATCTTCGCTTCGTTATTTAATATCAATTATCAATATCAATTATCAATAGACCTTTCCCACTGAGCTATAATAAATTAATAACCTTTCTCTTTTAACAGCACGCGCCCTAAGCATGACGGTAGTTGATCATCGAATTTCATTTTAGTTGTCACAATGTGTCACTTGTCATGGCGTTAAGCGTAGGAGCGATATTTTTTCCGAAAGAAATCGTGCCGATTTTAGCCCCTTTTCTAAACGAAAGTCACATTAATCGTTTCTTACGAAACAATATGAGTCGCAGGTATACGCAAATCTAAATTTAGAAGCAATCGGGCTAGTTTAAACGACAAAACGGCCTTTCAAATACCAAGGAGTGAACTGACAATTTAACGAAAATGGCCTTCGAAACAACCCATAGCCCGTTTTTACACATACATCATGCATGTGCTTCTATATATGGGTCTCTTACAGACGGACCGCATTTTCTATAAACGGCGCTTTTAAAACTATTTACACTTTGGTTGAATGTGTAAGATTGGTCTTAGCTTTAAGCGTACTAAACCAAATTATTTTTATTATTAATACTGCATGAAACAAAATTCATCGTACATTCTTTATTCGCCAAAGTTTGCGTATTCACTGAAGGAATCCAAGTACGCCATGATGGAACTCATATTGTTCCTATAACGAAAATGATTTCAAATAGATCTAAAAATACTGTCCAATATTCAGGGATGTTGTTTTAAGGTATGAATGTAATTTGTGTAAGCTGCAATTGTGCATAAAGCAGAGAGTGGTGAAATATGTTTTTGTCGAAACACCGACGTGTTCACACGCGGGAGAAATATATCCGTTTTTAACCGCAATGGTTTTATGCAATGATGATTTTAATCGCCTGGAAGTCGTCCATTGCTTGTTCAATCTTCATTCTTTCCAGAAGGTTTGAAATGGCGATATACGTGCCTGCTCGTCCTGCCTCATCGCTGTAAAACAAATGTCAATTATTCTTGTCGGAAAAAACGTCCCCAGCACTGAGGCAAGGAGACACGGACCGTCACAGGAGCTTTCGACTATTGTGAGAAATTCAGGACCATGAATCCAGGAATTAAAACGGAACGATTGTAATTTTGTCATGTTATTTTTCAATCGATCTACCTGCATGCGACTATGATTGCCCATTGATTGGCCCATGACCATGAATCTTTCTAGAATTCTCGACCAATGACGTCAAGGCGATGACGCCATTTCCGTCAATCGGTACGCCGTGGTCCGGCCACTTCGTATAATGGAAAATATTCACGACACGACCATCTGACAAATCCTGAATACAGAAACTAACATTATAAAAAATATCGGCTAATTTTCACTACGTGATATTACTATTTTACCCATGCACAACCCCATAAAAAGATTAAAAAGATTGCTTGCATGTATTGAACAATGTTTGTGGACTGTGGTATACTTACTGGATAAAGTGCTAGGACAAACTTTCTTGTCCAAATTCTATTTGGAATACTCCTTTAAATTCATGTTATGATAAAGTGTTCTTCTATATTATCAAATGTAAAAATTTAATGGGATATAAGACGTTGAAAACATTGTTTTTACGTTTAGGGATAACTCTAAAAAGCCTAATTCGAGGTAGCGCTAGCGCTCACTGGGTCTTGAAATGCAGACGTTCTACATAGGACGTAATAATTAAATAAACGACGTTTCGCCGTTGTAAACAGAACGTAGATCACGTCTAAAACTCCCATAGGTATTTAATAATTCATTTCTCTTCAATGAAGCATTGTATTGATAGCTCTCGTTGCATTCTCGCATATCTTGCCTAAAACCGAACAAAAAGTCAGATTGGTTGCCTTTTAGGCCCCTAAAGTTTCAGTAAAATCCTACTCACATGTTACATATGGTGCATCAACTGTTGACGATGCTACAGAGAGATAAAGATGGACACAGCATCTCTCGTTTTGAGGTACGTCATAACATAAGTCACCACTTACTAATGCTATACCATCTTCAATTCCCTGAGTCTTACTAACGTTCCCCAGTGTCCCATTAATCCCAACAACCTGACAGAGCGATTTTTCACGAGTGATATCAAAGATTTCCTCTTTCACGTTTGTCCAAGCGAAACCATTTTTTATTTCAATGAAACCTTCGTTCGGTAACTTTGATAATCTTATGTTGGGAGATAAAAAAACAAAATACTTAATAAAGTGTATTATAATTTTTTGAAAAGCCTTGAAGCTTGGAGACTATTGATAAGCGCTTCATTATGAAATTTATTGAGTTAAAGACGAGCGTTAATTACTTTTCGCGTAAAGCGACATTTACTTTCGTTAATCCTGTTTTACACGAGACTAATTTATTCCTTAAGATACTCAAATTTATGGTTCTTAATATATATATCACAGAACGGGATGAAACTTTTAAATAAAGTTTTTTTATTACCATCCCGGTAGAGGGAGACTTGACAAACTAGTTGAAACTTCTGACTCAGTACCGTAGGGGAAACATTTGGCGTTCAATACAAATTTACATCAAATGTCGTGGTTGATTAATTAAATATGGTCGTATCTTTAAGGGTATGAAATCAGCTTCTGGAGCTTGTTAATTCATGCATACATTTTAGGGTGATTTTCATATCTGTCCGTCAAGCACGTGCATCCCTAACCACTTTTCAAGCTAGTTGCCCCCTCCCTCCCCCCTGGGCCATAGCACGAGTGGACCTTACCTACTATAAGATTTGTTCCCTTCATAAAAGAAAACACCTTATTACTTGAAACTACTTGGAATTGCGAAAAAATGGGAATCAAATAATTGTGAATGATTTTTATTTTAGATTTGTGGTATCAGATACCTATCAATATCCACTAAAATAACTATTAATCTATCTAAATATTATTACTTATTTCATGCATGATGTCTATACCACACTTGTTCTCATTCTAAATGTAGCACTGACATGGCAAGCTCGTACAAACATAAGGTAATATAAAGTTCCACTGGTAAAAAAAGTAAAAAATCTTGAGCAGCTAACAAACTTTCCAGGGCTGTAGCACAGAGAGGGGCAACAGTGGGGAAGTCACAAAAATGCTTGAATTGCTAGGGCTGGAGAGCTGGCCAAACCACACCCTTTCTCTTACATTCTCTTATGTTTTTCTTGAATTTTTTAAGAGGGGTGGGGTATGAGGGGGGAGTAGCCACTCCCCAAACTCCTTCCCCTGCTATCCCTACTACAGCTTGCCATCAGTTCAGTAACTATTTGTTTTAATATTTCTTTTCAGAAACTAGATGAAATCAATACAATTATTATAGGCGAATTTTCAACTCCGTCGCTGACGCCGGAGTAATTAATAATAACCTTTCCCTTTTAGCAGCACGCGCCCTAAGCATGACGGTAATTGATCATCGAATTTCATTTTAGTTGTCACTTGCCATGGCGTTAAGCGTAGCAGCGATATTTTTCCGAAAGAAATCGTGCCGATTTTAGCCCTTTTCTATCAGCCCCTTTTCTCGACGTGTTCACACGCGCGAGAAATATATCCATTTTTAACCGCAATGATTTTATACAATGATGATTTTAATCGCCTGGAAGACGTCCATTCCATTTGAAATGGTGATATACGTGCCTGTTCGTCCTGCCTCATCGTTGTAAAACAAATGTCAATTATTCTTGTGGAAAAAAACGTCCACAGCACTGAGGCAAGGAGACAGTCACACAGACCGTCACAAGAGCTTTCGACTATTGTGAGAAATTCAAGAACATCGTCCATCAATCCAGGAATTAAAACTGAACGATTGTAATTTTGTCATGTTATTTTTCAATCGATCTACCTGCATGCGACTATGATTGCCTTTGATTGGCTCATGACCATGAATCTTTCTAGAATTCTCGACCAATGAGTCAGGGCGATGACGCCACTTCCATCGGGCGGTACGCCGTGGTCCGGCCACTTCGTATAATGATGGAAAATATTCACGACACGACCATCTGACAAATCCTAAATACAGAAACTAACATTATAAAAAATATCGGCTAATTTTCACTACGTGATATTACTATTTTACCCATGCACAACCCCATAAAAATATTAACAAGATTGCTTGCCTGTACTGAACAATGTTTTTTGGTATACTTACTGGATAAAGTGCTAGGACAAACTTTCTCGTCCAAATTCCATTTGGAATACTTCTTTAAATTCATGTTATGATAAAGTGTTCTTCTATATTATCAACTGTACCAGTTTAATGAGATGTAAGACGTTGAAAACACTGTGTTAATTTATGTTTAGGGACAACTCTATAAAGCCTAATTCGAGGTAACGCTCACTGGGTCCTGAAATGCAGACGTCCTACATAGGACGTAATAAACGACGTTTTGCCGTTGTAAACAGAACGTAGATCACGTCTAAAACTCCCATAGGTATTTGATAATTCATTTCCGTTTTCAATGAAGCATTGTATTGATTGCACTTGTCGTCGTGTTCCCGTCCTACATGCTTAAGGTCCCTATTTATAATAGGGAGGTTAAGATCGACTTCCGCTACGAGTACTGATACCAATAATCAGTCACGCGCATGCGTAACAATCGTCCAAAATGTGACAACACTGGAAGTCGCGAGTACCGTTTTGGGGCTGAAAATGGAAGTGGATAGGTAGGCGGAAGTACCGAATAATATTTACTGTATTATTGTCATTTGCTGCAGTAGTTTTCTGATATTATTTAGTTTTTAGTTGTATAATGTTTCTGCTTTGTTTGGTGAGAGTTAGGGATTGTGATTAGAGTTTCTGATGTGAATATAGCCGCTATACTCCGCCATGATTATTTACTTCTTACGGAAGTCACAATCTTAACACTTTAAAATTTCTGCGCTGCCAAACTGTAATACGTCATGTTTTTTCGTATCGGTACTGGTAGTGGAAGTAGATCTTAACCTCCCTAATCTCTACGGGAAAAATACGCGCGGATGAGGTAAGGAAATGGGAGAGTACTGGGGGGAGCATACAACTCTCACACTCCCGGCCAAATCAATAAACTTCAACTCCAGGCAAGTCTCGTTTAATTTTCAATTCTACCTTGTCATCAGGCTAACTCTTGTGACGTAAGAGATTTCAGAGCAATCAGTGAGGGCTTTGTCCTGCAGAGGTATGCAGACCACTCTAACTCAAAATCAACCATTACGAATTTTACACTTAATTTACGCTAATTTGGATCATCATTTAAATATATGTTACACTTGTCTCTCTAACAACAGAAACAGGAACATTTTAATGGGACGTAAATCAGCAAAATCTCACTAACAAATTTTATAAAACTTACTGCATCTATAGTTTCCTTCAGTGAACCCAACGACAAGTATTCACTGTGTTTTATGCAAGAAATGTTTGTTCATGCCGAATTTCATCAATGATACGTGATGCTTCTTTCGCTTATAAAAACAATAGGAACCTTGGGTAGGATACCAGATTGGGAAAAGACGCATCGCAAAATTTACGGAAGGGGCAGGGGCTTCGAGTTTCAAAGGCACACCACAGGCTAGATGCTATGTGGCAGGTTGAAAGTTAAACATTGTTTACGTTATTTTTTTGCATTTGTTGTCGTTATTATCAGTATTTCTGTAATCAAAGTTTATCATCAAACGTTAAATTCGCTTGATTTATCATCGTGAAACTCATATAATTTTATTTGCGATTAATTGCCACTCTCGGAATGACATCTGCATGCAGTATCTGAAATTAACTTAGAATTTTCTGATTTTATTCCACTAAGGATACTTTGAAAATCATTCCGATATTTCTGAATTCAACGTGGAAAAGGTCACTTGCGTGAAATGTGACATTTGCAATATATATATATATATATATAACCCACAGATATTTAGACTTCTTTTTCGCATTATTGTTTCGCTCCAACTTTTGGTTTGGCTTTCATCCGGAGGCGGAATACCAGAACGGTCCATAATCTTATAATATTTCTCAATCTTATTGTATGTACAGGAAATTACAAAAAGCGGATCAAACCAGCGTCTTTTCTTATAACCGTTTTCATTTTCACCTGCGAGCTTTATCTCAAGCCACGGCTACCTCGCTATACAAAGAGCAAACGTCATATAGTGAGATACACAGTTAGACGCAGGTAAACAAAGTCCCTAGCGCATAATTTTATTATATAAAAGCTGGATAGCGCTATCTAACGAATAGTGATTTTACAACCGCTTGAAAATTGCCCATTTTTCGGTACAACCTGGTTTAAACTTTACATTGTACTCAATTGCGGATTCAATACAGCGGTGTAAAATCACTACCCGTCCCCCGGGGGAATATCCCTTTCTATAGTTTTCGTACGATTGGGTCATGAGACATACGACTGGTCATTTCGGATGTAGAACAAGATGTTGTTCTTGTTCAGGTTCGTGTCAAAATTAACCCAAATGAAAAATGTTATTAACTGAAGTCCTACCGTTTCAAGTTGGTTTGTATTAATGTTGAGATCCTCTCCTTATCAGCCTTTTGAAATATAAACAAAAAATTATTGGGAGAATTGATCAAAATATTTATTTCATTAGCAAAGTGAACTGTAACTTATGTTTACGTTTAGTCGCCATCTTTGAAGCCAATTAAGAACCCGTGTCAGTCCCTTTCTATTGTTTTTGTAGGCGCGATCGTCGACCGTGAAAACAAAGACAATATAGAGGTTAAAGTACCATGATTCTGGTATACGGGTACGGTTAGCCTTATTTTGTTGACTGAATTTCCATCAGTGTTTCTCAAAATTTTCGAAGATTACCTCGACGATTCTTTTCCAGTAGACTTTAGTTTCTTGAAACAAGCATGATTTGTATCATGAAACGTGCAAACAACAAGAAATTCTAATGAATAAAATATGGCAACCCAGACCCGTATACCGAAACCGGGGTATCTTAACCTCACTACTGGAAACGGACTGGCACTGGTCCCCGATTCGGCTTTAAAGATGGCGACCGAGTGATCGTTCTTACTGAATATCAACTAATGTTATGATAATTTTTTGCAGTTATGATTAGCAAGCTCTTACTGGATTGATAAATCCGTGTTTGACCAAATCTTCCGCTAATTCGCCAGCTTTATCTTCTATAAATCAAAAAGCAAAATAGTGATTACTCATCCACGCATGTTCTACTATCATATCATGTGCAGAAAGTTGATTTATACGATAATGCCTAATAGTAGTTACCTGATTCTAAATCACACGTCAGCAATCTGTTCATCTGATCATCCATTTGAAGGTGAAGTATTAACTTTAACGTGAAAGTATTAAGTTAAAGATGTTGCATGCTATTAAATAGTCAGGTTTGACAATGACTTAGAATCGAAATATCACCTGAATATTGTGTCCTGTTCATTAACAACTCATATCTTAAGTTTAGTTTCAAATGTTTATTTTCGGAGTACAGTATGTTTTATATTATATTTCGCAAAATTTTCTGCTAGAAAAGGTCTTTCTAAATAAGTGAATACAAAGTACCAATATTTCATTTCCATTCATAGACCTTACTCATAATGACGTCGAACGCAGAAAGCCCGATACTCAGGTTTATAAGATGCACTTTCTAGACGTAGTGTTTCAAGGATTTCTCTTACCATTCGCTTTCCAGGATGTTCGGAAACTTTGGTCTTGCAATTCATATTCAACACCTGTTAAAAATTGTTCCACGATTTAGCCAAAAGCGTCGCGTTTTTCACAAGCACTCGATTATATAATTCGCCCACACCCTTGCTCAAATTCAGCACAGTGAAACTCACCAGTCTCGTCTCGACATCATCCGGGGGAGGACTTGAATTCTCCTCTGTCTCTCCCTCCTCCGGAGTTAGAGGTCTAGATGAAGAATGATCATACTATAGGTAGCAAATTATCAAAGGATTCTCACCAGCTCAATGGTTAGGGCGGCAATTAGTGTCAGATTAATGTGAAATTGATGTGTAAATTATACATGATGTTTTATAAATATATACAATGTATAGCCATCACAATACAACACAATTTCCTCGCGAGTAGATCTTTTATTTTTTTGCAATCCTAGCAGAAGCATCCGTGTACCTTTGAATGTTCGCATGACTTTGTCTGCGTTCCATTATGGTCAGAGGATACAGACCATCTCTACAAAGAACAAAGATAAATGAGGTCATTAGCAAAGCACATCTTGACAAAACCAATCAACATGAACTTACTGGACTTCCTCGAGGTATTTCTCCCTCTCCAATGATGGTAGATCCTTCTCACTAAAAAATAAAACCCACGCGATATGATATACACTGACGTATTAATGCTTTTAAAACGGTGTCATGTTATTTAACTACAAAATAAAAAAAACAGCTTCACAATGGTGCAGGGAAATTAAATTTGCGAACTCTTGTGTGGTGCAGTTCAGTGCTCGATAAGTTGAGCGATACTTGAGGTCAGTGACGGTTTTGTATTGGAATCGTAGTGCATCGTGCATACGAAGAGCAATGAAGGCGGGTGTCTGATGCGACCACATAATATTGTGATGCAAGTGCAAAATGGCTGCTATGCACGTACGCAATGTAATAAATAGGGGATTGTTATCACTGGGGGCGTCAATACTGACTCCTAACTCTTTTAAAATCGGGTTCATTCTATGATGGAAACAGTACTTAGCCTATGACAGATTAGTTGGTAAGGCTTGCAAAATCAGGGTTATTGTTAGTCAGTCAGGGTTATTATGAGGGGCAGATTTCGGATCCTCATCAAGAAAGAGCATGTTGGTGGTAGGGGTCTTCAGTCTAATACTCCTCACCGTCGAACTAAATTTCCTCCAAGGGCTGGGATGTCTACTAGAATTCTCTCTCGATCCTTCACTTCCTTCGACTCGGGAAGAGTAACTAAAGAAAATACAACATCAATACAATTTGGAATACTTTGCAACCAAACTTTTGAAGTTTACTTACAAACTTTGGGTTGCTCTTTCAAAGCATATTTGATAGATTTCACCCAGTCAATCAGTTATATGCAATTGGTTCATTAAATTCACAACATACCGCCGGTATCCACGACTGCATAAGCTGACAGGAGTTTCAACGAGGGAACCTTAAAAAAATATCGGGAAAAATTTCTTGTGTTTTCCCTGTGGTTTAGGTCTACCTTTCCATGGTGATGTATCATCAAACTCCTAAATATCTAATATAAATCCTGTATACGAGAAAATCGTAGTTCCATTTCTTTCCAGGACATACCTCAAACAACCATTTATGAAACATAAGTTTCATCACACTCGGACGCAAGACAGGATCTTCAATGAGACACTTCCCGATGAAATCCTATAAGATAATACGATTTTTCAATCTTTGTGCAAATTACTTAAGATGGCTCGATATAGTTATAACAATTTTTTAAATGGGAATGGCCATTCCTACTCGCACGAACATTTTTGAAAGAATGCGAAAAATTCCGACATAAGCTCACGCCATCGCTCACGCCATCGCTCACGCCATCGCTCACGCCATCGCTTACGCCATCGCTCACGCCATCGCTCACGCCATCGCTCACGCTAACGCTCACGCTAACGCTCACGCTATCGCTCACGCTATCCCTCACCCTATCGCTCACTCTATCCCTCACGCTAACGCTCACGCTACAACTCACGCAAACGCTCACGCTATCGCTCACACTATCGCTCACGCCATCTCGTGTTATTACGCCTTTTCTACACGTTATTTTAGAGAAAACTTTATATAGCTTTTCCGCTTATATTGTAGCCTCTCGTCAAGCCCTGTCAACTTGCAATAGCTGTTGAGACACGATTTGTTGAAGCTGGCGATAAAATAAAGTCTGTATTATTATCTGCGTGTATGTCAATACTGGATAATGATTATGGAAGGGGCATTATACATTTGGTAAAAAATCGGCTTTCTAAAGTACCTTAAAATCATCGTCTGTGAGGCCATCGATTGCTTTTTTCACCGCTTCAGAACCGATGTGACTTTCTTTATCTTGCAACTCTAATGCAGCCATCTGGAATGAAAGATGTCGGGCCGAATTTAATCTCAAAGACACGTATTGAAGGGCCCGATTCCGCAGGCGCTTTTTCTTGGCAAAATGCGAAATATTTTGTTTCTTTTGAATTATGACCACTTGAATATATTAATTCTGCTTGATTGCTCACAATTCAAAACGAAAAGGCGAAATATTTCGCATTTCGCTTGAAAATTTCGCTTGTCGAAGCAGGGCTTAAGAGGACGGCTTTGCAACTGTAAAGGTAATTCTTCTTTTGATTGAGTTCAGAAATTAATATCCCCCCATACCCATTTAAGGAGGCCACGGCCCCCCGCGGGGTTTGCTAACGAGATTTCCTGCCAACACCTATGCGCGCAAGTGTGTCGCAACTGTCGTTGTTTAAATGGTCAAAAACCCGACGCATAAAATTTCTGTATATCAGTTTTCTCACTTATTTTGAAAGGACACGTGTTACACAAATTTATGTCAAAAATCCGGATATTATGGGTTTGCGAAAAAATTAATTCACCTTGTGGAAGCACTGGGTTTACCTCAAGTGTACAAATACCGAAAGCAAAAACATCAACAGCTGTGTGATATTGCCTGCTGGTCCCAGGAAGGCCTAGAGAAGCAAGAACACAAAGTTCAAAGCACACACTACTGGGCAAACGACCATTGGTGACAGAAAATGTAATTGAAATGTAGAAATATGCATATACTCCAGGGTGACAAAACTCCCAAGAATGGTTCAAAAATCATTGCGTCAGATTGCGTTATGACGTTGCCATGGACACATGCCATGAGGAGATGCTGCCAGTAACCAATCAGGAACATGCCCTATCCATAAACTACGTCAAAACACAACCTTTTTATGAAGGTGTAAATGATACAGTGTTCCTTACCATATTCCGGTGCTAGGTAATGCATATTTCGCCTTTCCTCGTGATATGTTTTCACGTGGTCACGAATTGTGTCAGGAGCAACTGAAATTTCAATTGATTTAACGTCTTAAAAAAGAACTTTTATCGCGGGTGATTGTCATAGACATGCCGTATAACTGTAAACTGCCAAATTGAACTTTTTGTCTCCATAGCTACTCCAGTGAAAAGTTGAAAACCGAGCAGAAATGGAGGGAGTGTTATACTTGTGCTCATCTATTGATCCCTACCCCTACAACTACTGCCCTAGCGCAAATAACGAGCCAAATTGCCCTAGTTATTCCCAACGCGTTCCCATCCCACTTTTAAGGCTTAGACATGCAATGAACAGACTGAATTCAAGTAAAAATGATATGTATACACAATATATGTAAGTGCATTAACGAAATAAAATGCTTTTTTTTACCTGAACCGATTTTAATCAGACCATTGTGTTGAATGAAGATCGTATCGCAGGATAGATTGCCATGGACAATAGGTGGGTTGCAGGCGTGCAGGTAACTAGGGAAAAATTGGCATGAAACAGTTTTTACATTTATATAACTCTTTATCTTCAATAAAAAAACAAGCCTTCATAAACGGATGATATCTCTCATGAACCAACCTTAGAGCCGAAAGAATCTGACGGCACCACTTTCTAACAACCTATTGAATAAAGAACAGTGTTCTCAGTTCAAAATCGCGTGTTTCGACAACCTCGTACCCAGGGTATTTTGCTCCACATTGGCGATATCGATGCCCTGGGTACGAGTTTGGTGTTTCGCACGCTTTTCAAATGTGACCATAATTGATTTTGGAACATCGCATGTGAACTAGTAATTTTTTCCGAACATGGTCATGTCAGTGTATTTTTTATAATTTTATGCTAAGGTTAAATCCTTTGGATCGGAACGGACAGGAAAATTTCCTTTGTCGGTGAGTTCTCAGGCGGCGTTTATACAAAGGAAACTTTCCTGTCCTGTTCGATCCAAAGGAGAATTTTCCTGAGTGGAAACTAGCCTTCAGAGGATTCAATTAAAGACGATATCCGTTGATTTTAGACATCGAATTATCACCAGGGCACACTGTTGGCTCACGCGATCAAACCTCCCCCTGTCCCAACCTCTCTGCCAGTGTTTCTGGGGTGCTGGTGCTGAGTTTGTTGGAAAATAGCTGAAATTTTACCTTAGGACTGATAGTCTTGTTATTAGCGCGTGTCTTCTTGAGGAATTTTTTCAATGATCCAGCCGTCATATATTCCGAAATGAAGACAAGACGAGCCTTGTCACCCTGCATGTCATTCCAAAACCTGTGAAATTTCACGATGTTTGGGTGCTAATGAATAAAAAACAGCACCAATATTTAAAAAAAAATGACCCAAGTAGATAAAGTTAAGCAACACCTGCATCTACTTATATTTGGAAAAGTGGTTTAGACACTTTTACTCTGACAACTTCTTGATATATAAAAATGTAACTGATTGGCTGTTTGATTGATTGGTTTTATGAAAAACAAATGTGTTGCCAAGAGACGATCTGATCACAATGCCGACAATATAGCCTAAAAATTCCTTTGTAATTATGCAATTTAATTATAGCTGATGTATAAGACTATGCTTTTATTAACAATTTTTTGACATTGTCAGCAGGTATCTGTTTTCAAGCATCTAATGACGGTGGTTTGACATTATAATAGCCTGCGCCGCAGACATTATAATAGTGTAGAAATAATATATTACCTTCAACTTGGTTAAATTTTGAAATATTGTTTTGATGGTTGCCTAAAATTAAAAATAGATCATCTGTGAAAATGGTACTGTGGCAGTAGTAATGGTAATGACTAGAAAATGCCACAGTTGGGTAAATCTGAAATTCAGAAATGGGAGAGTGGAAATGCATGCAGACACATCATGTACGAAAGATGTTTCATTAAGGGAGCAAAATAATAGTACTGCTAGCTATGACTCCCACAATGTAGGACCAATACAAACCAATAAATACCATGATTCTGTATTGAACATTTCTCTAATATTCTATGGTATTTCAGAGCAGATGACATACAGGACAGTAAGCTACCTCATCCCAAGTAAGAAGTTGATTTAATGAGAGCCATTTCATTTACAGGCTAAAAAACTGAGATGACTGTTTGATGCCCACCTCCTGTGCTTTGTAACTTTTTCTTTGAGAGAACTGAACCTCATTCCAAACCACTTCGACACCCTCCTCTGTATCCATGGCAAGGAATGCCTTGTCAATGCCAGGCACATCACGTTGTGTTACCTGTGCAGAAATTTTAGTGTTATTCTCAATACCAAAGCTAAGAATCACTTGTTCACATAAGGGTGAATGAACATTTCATGTCCCATTGAATTATGACCATGAATTATGTTATTCAATAAATAAAGAATGAATAAAATACATTAGAGGGATTTTGAAAATTCATGCCAACGACATCCATCTTAACCAACACAGTGATTGAGCAGACAGACATCTGTGACAGTGTCAATGCGAAATGAACTGACTGTGATATCTCATATGCAAAACCATGTTGTCTTTGATGTCAAAGGTGTTCATGCTATTAAAATAGACCTGATTTTTACTCAAGTCATTGAGTTCAACACTACCCTACACATTACCACCAGCACTTTGTATAACCAAGTATGTATTGTACAACCAATATATCCAGCACTGAAAATGGCAGGAAATTTGTAAACTTTCCAGTTAGGTTTTGTATCTGCTTGTACTTGTCGAAATGGGGAGGATTGACACCAGAAAGACAATATTTTGTGAATAACAATGAAGTACGATTATATAAAAGTACACTTCTGGTATTCGTACATACAACCTTAGTGCTGTGTAACTAACTAGCCTATGATTGTGACACTTTTATATAAAGTTTCATATTATATTCTATAAATGCCTAGAGTGAATCAAAACATTGAAAACAAGCTTTCTTCTCCACCTCAATTCTTCGCTTTTCCCATCGCCCACACGGGCTGACTTCGATCACATCGTCGTATGCATCGTCACTCTCTTCACCAGAGTCCGTAGAAATGGCACCTGGCTTTGTAATCTCGGTTGCTGACTGCACAGAAGCCATTTCCCATAAAAACAGTCACTTATAAATTTCTTCTACTTTCTCCATGTTGACCATCCACGTTTGTTTACACGAGAGACTGAGAACTAAATCAAAGGAAGCAAAGAGGCACGGGGGGTAAAAAAAGACATCATATCCGTATTCTTTGTCAGAAATGTTTCCTTGATTTTCTTTAAGACACTCCAAAAACCATCTTAATACAATGAATTATCGCGATTCAGCTTCCTTCATTCACGATGCTCGTATCTACGCAAATATACAACAAAAATAGACATTTTTAGTCAGTATTGTTCGGGTATCTTACTGAAACACCCCCCGGAAATTACTCTGACACGGAAATTACTAATGACACGAAAATATTGTTTCGTTTTTCCAAGCGGCCATTTTGCCACGTTCAACGCCCTGCGAGGAATTTCACGAGGGCGAATTTTAGTATTCTTTGGTAAAAATCAAGCAATCAAAACGCACAAAAACATAAAAAGGTACGTCAGTCCGCATTGGAATTGTTTTAGGGAAAGGGAAAGCTTTTATTTTGTGTTTTTAGCGTGAAATTCGCGAATCGTGTACGCGACAAGCTTGTGATGATCGCTCGTGTCGTGGGCTTTCACACTCCCGAACTTTTCGCGACGTAAACAAACGAGAAATATTCCAAATTGTACTGTAAATGGTTTGAAACGCGAGTCGATTTATTTGGTGAATTCATCGTTCACCCGCGCCGGCCGTTCACTAGGGTTTAAGCACACGATTTATTCAAATTGTATTTTATTATAAATAGTTGCTATGTATATGTTTTGATGTCTCTCAAAATGCTCCAACCGGCTCGAGGAATTTGAGGGCGATTTTTGAAACATCGGTGATAGAGAAGCTGAAAATCTGCAGTCTGACTTGTGTCGAACGATGTTCCATAATAGCGTGCTATTTTGAAGAAAAATAGTCACAAGTCGAAATAATAAGATCTTATCCTTCCTGCAAACTTTCATGTGCTTGAAAAGACTTGAAAATGTTCTCAATATTTACATATTCCTAATAAGGGAACAGGAATGGCTTTCTTTTCCGACCTATAATCGTATTTAATTACCTGAAAATACATCCAGATTTGCCTTTTTATTTATTTATATGTAGATTCCAGACATTTCTATATATATCAGCAGATGCTATATGCACAGTCATGCAGGGCTACATAGTGGCTAGAAGCTATTTTTGAAGCTAGTAGAGGTCCTTACTGCAAGGCTTTGATCTGTTATCTAAATCCCAATGATTTGCAAAGTGTTGCCATTTTGATAAAAGGAAATTTTTTCAACTACTCACTTCTTCATAACAAGCTAATCCCAGCTCCTGTTTGTGTATGTTGCCATGAAATGGCAAAAAAATTTCATGTGAACATTTCTCATAAATTTGTGGGTATACTCCAATAGGCCACATATTTTGAAATTTATAATTCTTAATAGCCAATATCTTAATTCTGATGCAAATAATTCCCATAGATAATTTTATAGATAATAATAATAAATTAGGTATTCAAATTTAAATAATCACATAATATTTGTAGGAATAAACACAATTGATTTTTTCAAGTGTTTTTGACACTTTTAGTGAAATTATTGAGAATATGAATACAAATGTCATGAAAATTTTACAAATCAAGTAACACATACTACTCTGAGCAATTACCAGTTATTATATTTATAAAGATCGAGATTTGGCAATTCAAGTGCAAGAAAAAGTAAAGCCTTTCAGAAAAAAAATTAAACCTCAGTAATCAGTATAATATGTAAGGTTCAAATCGCTTGTGTCATGTTTTGCAAAAAATAAGTTTTGGTATCTTTGGCATAACAAGTTAGTTGTCCACCAACCCCCACCACCCCCCCTATTAGGTGACCTTGGGCTTGGCTTTGCATACCTTGAATTGAAATATCCAAGTTCTTTGTTTTCAGCTCTGAAAGTTTCACAAAATGGTCGAGCCCCATGCAGAGCAAACGGAAACGCTGATCACAGAAGAGCAGAGCGTCCACACTTTGGACCAAGCCGAGGAAAAACAGGCAGTAATGGAGGTCACAAGACTTGTCACTGAGACCGAAATCGAGCATGGAACCGCGAACGAGTGCCCGCCAGAGGGACTGGAACACGCGGCGGAGGCCTTGGACGAGACGGCAACCGCTGACGAGGTCCAGGAAGTCGGGCGCCAACCGCAAGGCTCGATTTGGCCATCAACATCATGTCGCATATGGAGATCTCACGGCTTATCGCTAACGTGGTGAAACGGATGCAAGAGGAGGGCGCTCAGGCGGGCATCAATCAGCACAGTTTGTTTCACATGGAGAACCTTTTGAAGCAGATTGTCACCAATCAAAACACAATCACAATTAACCAAAATTCTCTACTGAGAAACCAACAAGCAATCATACAAAAGGTAAAATAGATTTACAAATTATAAGCGGTATTACGTATTACTAGCAAAATGAAGTAGTGAAAGTCCAAACAGATTTTCTATTTTTTCTGTCAAACATTTTTTAAATATGGCTATAATTCGTTGAATAGGTAGAAATTTTGAACAACTTGCTCGTGGCTGGCATCAGCGAGGGTGACGGTCGAATGTCGGAGAAAGTAACCACGAACATCAAGAGTAACATGCACGGTGCTCGAACCATGGGCTCCCCCCGATCCGGCAAACGAACCATCGGAATGGACGGCACCCTGGCATTGGTGCAAGCTGCCGAACATGTCGGCTTGATTTCTGCTTCGACGATGTCCCAAACCCTCAACGGTGTCACAACCACCGCCGTGCTTGCCCAGGAAGGTGGTGTGGATGGCGAGCCTCGGGCCTCCGGTGATGAAGAGCAGCCGGGGTTTGGTACCCCTCCTCAGGCTGGTCCCGACCTATCTACCATTTCCCCCCAGGCCATATACCTCACCACTGGAAGCATGTCCCCAGAGCAGCTCCTGCATCAGCAAACTAAACCGGGGGAGGTGAACGAAGTTACTTTGGTCCGTTTAAAAGCACGAAGCCAGTCGGTTGGTAACTTTGCCGTGCACCTCGTACGTGAGATGTTCAAACCGCACGAGCTAGCGGCGAAAAACGTTTCAGGTATGTTTAGGTGTACTAAGTTTACGTAAACTTCAAGTACAAGCGAGTACAATTCGGGATTAATATAGTACGAGTGATGTAGGTACCCTGCACAATTACTTTCCCACAATGTCTATAGCTGTTCCCTTCACGTTCTGTCCGTGCCTTTCAGGAACTAGAAACAAAGACAAACTCGACCCAGAACGCGTGGCGAAGATCAGAAAATACGTGTTCGAGTTATTTCCCACCACTGAGATGATGGAAGAGAAGGTATGGAGCGATTGTCGCAAAGCAATCGACGAATTTTTGCGACGACCGAACAAGAGGAAGAATCAAGACAGACTATCTGGCGATGCACTCGATCAGTTTGGGATAAAAAAGGACAAACTGAACGATGCACAAGTTATTGGTCCTCCGTGAGGAAGCATGATTAAGCACACTAGAAGAATATATGAAATATATACGAACACGTGCACAATCAAATCGTGGTTGGCAACTCCTGCATGGGAGCTGTCAACAGTCGACTTTCAAGAAAAATTCTGTTGGAACTTACGGTTGTATCGCGGTATCGGCGTATCGCATCCCTAATAACTGTTGGCCGGTGTTTGTGGACAAAGTTCAAGCATATATATAAACCAACAAACAATATTATGGGGTACAGTACTTTTACATCCCTATTATTGCTGGCCCTTATTGTAGTGACTGTCACACATTAGCAGTTTAGATTTGGTAAAAGACCCAGTTATATTATAGGCGATTCAGTGCACGAATTCACCAACGGCAACGAAGTTTTTTAAAACTATCGCATCAATGTCAATGAACTTAGGAGGCTTCTTGCTTCTTTTTGAATACACTTTACGCTGCATTATAAGTTTTGAGAGCGGTCAAAATCCGCTCTTTAATTTATACAGTTTTAGTAACTTAACTTTTAGTAAGGAATTAAGCTTTAGCAGTACGTGACTACGAGTTACGACTATATCCGTGACTATAGCCCCGTTTACACTACACTCAATTTATTGGCACGGCACGGCTAAAATGGGCACCCGTACCCATTTCATCTGTACTCGGCCTTTGTTTTGGTAGCCTGAACACTAATAAAATTGGGCACGGGTGCCCATTTTAGCCGTGCCGTGCCGATAAATTCAGTGTAGTGTAAACGGGGCTTATATACACACGACTACGGGTACATGATTCGTCATTCTAGCATGTTGTTTGCTTACGCCATCAGCTCGTAGTAGTCGAGCTTTGAGTACGAATTTGTTGATTGAAAAGCCCAACGACTACGATTTTCGTCAGATGGTGTAGGCATTGTAGTATCTCGAAGTCGTACTCCTAGTCACTAAATGAAATAATTTTCTTGGAGAGTCATGGTTGTACAGAAATGTTGGAGAAATGGCATGGTAGTGGCGTAGCCGTGCAACCAACATGAGTGGGGCGGAGGCGTCAAGAGTGAGGGGTCAAATACAAAAGTGCAATACATAACAAATAGGGCATGATGGTGCCATACTTCCCCCCAAGCATCAACTGGAAGTTGGCAGAGGGCCCCCTCGTCACCCCTCTGGCTACATCACCGTACGTGCGCGTGCAATAATTAATAGGCCTTAATGATAATCGCAATTTGTAAGTTACAGAAACGTTGTTTCGTGTATTAAGCTGCTTTTCATATACTAACGAAACAGTCATAACATGAGGAAACATTCTTCACATCATTTGTTTACTGAACGCTATGAAATTTGATTCGCTAAATAAATATTAATTAATCATTGTTGTACACCAGATCAATCTTTTATATCACTAAACTCTCCCATATATGCTATAGTTGACGAAAACAGATAATCTCGGATGTATGTATATTTGAACATATTTTACCGCTATACTTATCAAAGGGATGTACTAGAAGTCATATTTGCAAAAATAAATCGTTCATGAGGAAGAGAAATTAACAAGTAAATTGAAAGCAAGGAAGATGGTTTGGGTCGGGGCTTTTCGAGAAATCTGCATGCGGCCCTAACTCCTATAAGAGGACAGTCTTCTCACCTTATATATGCTGTACATGCCGTATAAAGCGCCCTCTCCACTCTAAGGACCTTGAATATTTAGGGTAATTTCCTCCAATATCAAAGAAAATAATTTTTCCTGGACGTCCGCGGAAATTTAGTCAGATTGATAAACGTGATCAGAAGTGAACTGAATTAAGTTTAGTGAATTTTGTATAAAGTAAAATAAATGAAAATGCTGTTCCATATGCAGAAATTTCAAGGCTTTAGACAGAATAGAAACATTCAAAAATACAAAAGCAACTGCCATTCAATCGAAAAATGCAACCATCTTTGTAGTTTTTAAAAGTTCTGTCACTGCCAGGGATAGCTATAGAAAGAACTAAAATCCTAGACAAGCTTTTAAACAGCACCTAGTTTAGTTTTTATATAATGGCTATTAAAGGGTAATATGAAACAAAACAAAGAATATTATTTGCAGTAATAATTAAAAAAGATATATAGTAACATTACATTCATGAAAACGTATCTATATAAATGATACAAGGCTGGATTATAATGAAAATGAAATGACATGCAAAGTAAGTGATGAATTCAACTTCTACAACAATAGATTATATGTTACTATATTGCAACTTTATTATATAACAGGATATAAAACAAACGAAATCGAAGCTAGCCGGGTATATATAACAGCTAAGCTCTGGCAGGAAAATCGCAAGCAGAACATGTTGCACACATCTATATACTTCAAAATTATAATTGGATGCGTACATCGATGCCCACGGGACGCAGTTTTATACATATAAACACTATACAGCCTGGATTCACGAACCTCCCCCGCCCCCCAATTTAAGGCCGGCGTGGCTACGTCCTTGGGATGGAGTTACATTTTCAACAGACTTATGAATGTATGTAAAGGATCGTCTTCCTGTAATATAAACTGCCAAATTCTTCCCTCTTTGATTTCGCCATTCACTATATAGTGTTTATCGCCATAATCAAAGTTAATGGGTGAGCAGTGATCGGAATTCATTTGTTTCCAGCAGTCGTTGTCACTTGCAGAATCCAGGTCGTTCGTTTTGTCTAAGATGGCAATCTTTGCGATACCTAGAATTGGGAAGGATAGTGAAAACGAGAACACTCTGAGATTACTGCTTTCGAACTTGTCTTCAAAAGATTTCACTTCTCCATCCAAATAGATGATAAAGTATCCGCCGGTAGAAAAAGTGTAATCCATTAGCCTTGTGGCTTGATGTTCGTATGATGTAAATGGCTCTACATCGGTACGAAACTTTAACGCGTTAACGTGGTAACCTACGTTGCCATCACAAACTACTTTGACAGGTACACTGGTGTGATTGATGAACTGGAAGTAACAGCGGTAAGAGAACAGTCTTGGCAAATCAATGACATTATAACGGTGGGTGATGTCTTCAAGTTTCCAGGGCAATTCAGCATTTTGTTTAGCTTTTTTAATCTCATCGAATCGCGGCATCTTCGTCATCCCCAAGCCCTGTCTGAATTCCTCCACGATCTCATATATAATGTGGTTGTTTCGCAAACGAAATGCTAGGTATAATTTTCTTTTATCGTTTGGAGACATAGCCAAGCTGTACGTCTTGAAATATGACAAGTATTCGAGCTTCTCAAACGCGTCCCTGATCTGATCGTTCAGCAGCCTGACGATGCACTCAGTGTTGTTACCAATTGCTTGAAATGTCACCAGCACATTTGACAGCAGCACAAGAAAGGACGTCATGCGTGACAATATGCAACCATGGAGGTGAGGCAGTCGTGAACGTCCTCGTCTTTGCTATCAGGATTCAAACCGTGTGAAAAGTTATGAGCGACCTCGCCAATAAACTGGGGGAAGTCAGTCTCATAAAGGATTTTATCGTCTGGCAAATCCCCTTGTGTCTCGAGACTCCTCAGATTTATCAGCATTAATCGTACTCGCGCTTGCAACCCGCTGAATTTCTCGCTTTTAAGCTTCTGATTAAGCTTCAAGATTTCTTCATAAACCTTTTCCACAAAGGTTGTCGCCAAATTGGGTCTTTTCGGGGCATGAATTGACAAGATCGTGGCTAACACGTGGGATACAGCCTCGACTGCAGCACCATATGGGCCTCCAGCAACGAAAGCAATAGAGGTCGTAATGCTAAGGCATCCTTTCATGACTTCATAAGGTTTTTCGCTGCTCAGGCTGTCCAAAGAACGTACGGTGGTTGCGATCGCATTTCCCACATTAGTGATTCTTTGATTTCGTGAATTTTTCTGGGAATGGGCGTTTTGCTCCTCAGCCCAAATCTTTATAGATTGTATGTCCTCCGAGAGGTCGACAATATTGTCATCGGCGTTCTGAGACCTAGCGTATTTGCAGATATTGAATTCCAATCTAGCCAGATTAGCAATAAAACTTTCTTTGCCATCACCTCTGTTTTGATATGCCATTGCAAAACCTCGCACGCGGTTGGCCATTGTCCTATCCATAAGCCATGTCATGGGCATAAACGATTTAATACAGCAAAGAGATCCAAGCGAGAATGAACAGATCACAGAATTACTTGATTGTTTGTTTCGCACGAAATTCCTTTGCAGCTATGGCATCGTAGAAAACACGAATACCGGATAGGCGGATTAGCGGATACGTTAAAATATGCTTCTTTGAATAAAGCCGCTTCGAAATAATAAGCTGAAAACCGTTTCGTAAAATTCTATCATCTCAAATCTATGCATGTATAGACGCGTTCAAATCGCCGGCAAAGAGTCTTGTCATATATAAATAATTATTGTTTTAAAAGTTTTCACCGAAATTCAAAACGCATTCGTGGAATTCTGCAAATGATCATTTGAAATGTATATGCACAGTAATTCGAGAACACGTTTAGTTTATTTATGCACGTAACCGTATTTACTCGTTTGAGCGCCGCGGCGCTCTTTGAATTTTTAGAACTTAAGATGCGGCGCTTAATCGAGGGCGGCGCTCTTTAAAAAAATATTATTTGTGAATTGTAACAAAACATTGGACATTTTACAGAAAACAAACCTCCTCGCACAAATTACTGGAATCTCTGCCTTCAGGTCTGACCTGTGCCTTACGAAAATTCTAAAGACCGATTTAACAGTAGCGTCTTCAACAATTCTGATGGTGCGTCGATTAAGCGCCGAATTTGGGAATAATTAGTGCGGCGCTCTTTAAGAAAAAATTATCGCAAACGCGGCGCTCATTCGGGGGCGGCGCTAAATGTTTATCTACGAAAAAGACTGGGCAGAGCCGAAATTTTGTCAGCCTGATCGGTGCAAACTGGCCTAAACTTTCAGATAAATTAATCGCAGAAATGGTATTTCATTGATTATTCTTGTCTACTTTGTTATAACTGTATCCAATTAGCAAACTAGCATTGAACAAATCTTTGCCAATGCTTTGGAGGCTACCCACATGGATGCATTGCATACCTATTTTTATTCATTACCAATCTAAGAATAATCCGTAATTATCACGTAACGAACAGAAAATATGAAGAAGCTGTGATATGTTAATCACCTTCATGTGGGTATTTGTGAAGGTTTATAAGGAATCTACGGGGAGAGTGAAAAAAAGATGTCTTCCTTGTTCAAATTTGCAGGTAATTATATATATGACAGTCCCTTCTTGTATACAAGTATTTATTACACATTTTCGGTTTTTACTTCCACATTAAAGGAACAATATTTATGTTTCACTTCACTGCCTCTGGCTCTATCAAATCACACACCTTGTGCAGTAAATTTGAACATAAAAGCTCACTCTGTATGATAACGTTTCAGTGATCTTATAATCACCCACGAAATCATTAGAATATTATAAAGTTTGTTACGTATCTTATTAGTTATTATTATGCCAATGCGGCAAATATAACTTGTCCAGCTCACATGCAGACATGAAAGATTTAAGGGAATCTATACAATTTAAAGAATCATGGTGATTCACATTTACCAACATGGTGATTTCAGAGAAGAGTAGTTACCAACATGGTAATTTCAGAGAGAAAATAGTTAACAGCAGAATGATTTTAGAGGAAAACTAGTTACCATCATGCTGATCTCAGAGGAAAACATAGCTACCAGCATGGTGCAGAAAAACTTGTTACCACTACGGTGATTTTAGTTCATTTAGAGTGTTTCCTTGACTTTTCCTCGATGCCAACCACCAGGGGAACGACGATACCACATTTTCAGCACCTCAATCATTTGACTGTCTGTTCCGGTGAAAAGACTTTACCGTTTATAGATTACAAATACCTTACTTGATCATCTTTGTCATATAAGGTCCCTCCAGATCATATCCCAACTTGCGATAGTAATTACGGGTACCAACACCTGAAATTTTACAACATTTTGGCTTTCGCACGAGATATGTATATAGGAGCTAGACCAGAAGTCAAATATATTGAAGATTGGAAGAGTTTGCTATCTGTCAGTATCGACTTTTTGAAGGCTGGAAAAATGAAAGTTCTCCGTCTAACAACGGACTTCATTAGACTGCGTTTAAAAAACACTAAGATGAAACGACTTCCGGTTATAAAAAGTATAGTTTAGAAATTCGTAAAGACACCTAACTAGTTTCACAAATGTATTCAAATGTGAAAAATGACACTTTCAGGTAAAATTTCGTTTGATACTTGCCAGAAACCCAGCAAACATGATAACGGGAATGCGAACATATCGGCGGTTTCCGTACATTGTTCAGGCTAAGCTAATCAGAATGCCTAAAATTTTAATACGTCATGTAAAATGGTAAATAATGCACCTTTTTACCTGAAGTAATAAAAATTTATGCTTTCTGATTGGGTTACTAAAATGTAAACGAACTTGCTGATTGGTCTAAAACAAAATTCCCTCGCTCTTATTGCGGGATAGGTGTATTGGGAATACCTCTGCAATAACTACCTGAAATGACAGCAATTTTCACACTGCCGTGTTCATCTTTTGCAATCCTCTCCGCCTCTTCCATTAGAAGCACACCAAAACCCTTCGAAAAAACAATTGTAACTCAAATAAACTATTTATGCGTTCCATCGACTGATCTAATTATACGCTGGATGAAGAATCATGTCTATCGAAAACAAAGTCGTAAAGTAGCAGAGAGTTCATTAAACCCGGCTTCGCTTTTTGTAGGTATGGTTGTTGCATCCAGTGTAATATCGGATCAGTGGTTTAACTTTTCCCTTAATTTTCGACTAGCGGAAAGGTTTAATTGGATCCGATATCAAAATGGTCCGCAATACCGCAATACCCGCAAAAGAAAAGTCGGGGAGAGGGTTACCTGGTGTTGAAACTTTGTTGGATCACGTGAACTGACTGGTACAACGCTACCGTAACTAAACTTTATGTTAAGGAGGTGCCAGCAATAAAATTGACGAACCATGCATGTTATACTACTAGCGCCTCATAAGCTAATGTACAGGTCTTCTAAGGTTTTTCACTGAATGTTATATTGATGAATATGATAAAAAAGACAGTCAATGGGCAACTGAATGGCAATATCTTGAGACATTTTGACCACATTGGGTATTTAGACTGAGACCGTACTTATTAGCCACACAGCAGAGTCAAACTGGCAAAAATCACCGTTTCCCGCCACGTTTCGCAGGCTGGAAACATCGAGCCAAGGAAACATCACTTTCTTTTTTCATAGCATGTACAGTTTCGAGTCGACTAGGAAAATAGAATAGTTAACTGTTCATTGGCTCAAACGTATGATAGGCCAATTGGAACGAAAAAGGATACACGTGTAGCTCCCGAACAATGGAGCATTTCCCCGACAGTTCGGGACGATAAGTATCTTTGGCGCATTTGCGAAGACGAAGAAGGCCTATTAGGATATCTTAAAGCGGTTAAGCAACACAATGTGATGATAGTATGGAATGAATAATGTTAGTTAAACTTAGTTGTCCGAGGATAGTCTATCTAATCCCGTAAGTTTAAGATTACCTTCTTTCTTGAAAACGCCAGCCCTGTTGACCAGGATAATATTCTTACAATCACAAACCCCCGCGATTAGTGTCTGAGTATCAAAGATGATGTGTTAATGTTTACTATCAATCGAATTCAAAAAATTTTTGCAAAGTTTAGTGAAAGCAAAATCATGACACCATCTTAAATTTGTTTGAAAAATTTGGCAAGAGCTTTGGTTTTCAACACTTTCTGTTGTCTTAAAACACTACAATATCTGCAAAATATTTTATATACCAACATGATGTTAGGACGAAATTGTTTGCGATTCATATTAAACGAAATATTAAGCTAAAATATGAAGTGATGTAAAAAAGGATATCTTGTGCAGGATCTTCATATGAAAGAAAAGTCTCCCAACCGCCATTAGCGACATAATCACGACGAATTAACTCAACCTATACGGGAAAAAAAATCATTAAGAGTTGTATTACGTGGAACTTTCTTAATATAATATAATTGCATGGTTAATTCTTCATGTAACTTTGTATGCTGTTTGGAATTGCATAATTCGGTAGCTGCACAAATATGGTTTTACCACACTTTTCTTTATATAAACAAAATCAAAATCAAAGTCTTTTAACACATGCTATTTGATTTTGTATTCTGGGGCCGGTTGTTCGAAAGGCTTTTAGCTTCAACGGTGGATAAGTTCAAAATGGAAAACAAAATTATCTATTTATTGAACAACAGAGCTAAAATATTTCGATGTAAATAGTTTAATTGTCAATGCATGGCAGTACATATTAAATGCATGAGATGCAGGTTCATTCATTTACAAGAACTGTGAGAGTACTTTGGCTTATCAACCATTTAAACAAAATGCCGTACAAAAAACCGGCCCAAGAAGTACAAGATATCACAACATACCTCGTAAGGCTTAACCTTGTTATGAATTTCCTGAATTCCAACTTCTCTTGTTCTCACATCCCGACACTAAACATTGAGCAACAACATTGCAGTAAAGTTATATTATCAAGATTAACTTTTATTTCAAAAACCATTTTAGGGAAGATTTGCGGCAAAAAATCATTTTAGGCAAAATTCGCGTTCGAATAAAAAACTTACTGATGAGATGTCAGAAGATAGACGTAGCTACGTTGGTGCTTTTTATATCATATGCTAGCCCTACAAAATTCTATACATGATAACATTCATAGAACAGTCCTTTCTCATGTATACCATATCTATATTGATAGAATGTGATGAAAATATTGCCATTGACAACACGCTTAGAATTAAGTCGCCTTAAAAATCCTTTATCAAAAATATGACAATCACTTTGTGAAGGTATATATTTTCTTCCATTTTATCTTACTATGTTTATACGATCTTCAAAGGTAATTAATCCAAGGTAATCAACACAAGTTCCGAGGGCTCGACGCTGATTGGTTAGGACATGGGAAAAGGAACGTTGTATGAATGAAGTCATACCCTAGTGTGGAATTCGCTAGCTCTTATATATTGCTCAGTGGTCTCGGATCAAACTACATGCAGTAGAACTCTCACCGTGGTTCCAAGATCTTTCATTCTAGCCAGTGCCAGTTCTCTAAGATTACCGTGTTCGACGCCTGATGTGACCAACGGCATCGGAATATCCCTGGTCAAAAATTGAGAGCAGACGTTGGTATCACCAAGGGAATGGATATAACCTGCGGTAGCTACGTATTGTACTATACCCATAATGCCTTACATCACATTATCCTAAGGACCGTATCAGTCTATCAGAGATCGAATTAGTTTGTTCGGCAGTCATTTCATGTTTATAAAATATTTGAATATTTTCAACATAGATAAATACATGTGAATCAATATACCATAAGAGTTAACAGTAGCCATGAAAGTGATACACAAAGTGTATAGAAAAATTACATTTATAAAGTATATAGCTCAAGATTTGCTGCACGGAAGTTTTAATAATAATAATAATTTAATTTATATTGCGCATATTACATTGAAATATGTAATCTGATACTTTAGTTTTCTGATACTTTGTTGGACCATTCCAAACTAAAACAATAAAATTTGGCTCGCAATGACGCCAATAAATTCACGACCGAGACAGCACAAAACTTTATTTAAAACATGTTGGACAGTGACAGTGTATACTGTTGGATCAGTTCGGACAAGTTACTAGCCGCTAAATAATTCGCACCGCGACGGACAGGAATGATATGGAAAACAATTTGCATGGGAAATTTACCTTTGCACTCTGTAAATTCTTGTCCAAGGTGGTACTAGAGCTAGTATTCTAGCAACCAGGTCGATCAGAACATCAGGAGGGTAACTTTTGTATCTTCCCGTTTTCCATAGCTCGTAAAGGCCTAAAGTTTAAACAGGAAAAAAACGCAGTTAAACGATGGCAACGACAGGGTTTATTCGAGATTTTTGCAGAAAGCGATGATCATTTCGTAAAAAATTCCTTAGTGGTGCATTAAATCCTTTGATTTTTCATATATTTGCATGGTAGCACGATATTTCTTAGTACATGGTCGATATAAATGAAAAGCAAAACAATCATAACAGCTTTTGTTTTTATAACTTTTCCGACTGACAAACTACAAGTTTGTTTCTTTTTAATGTATTCTTTTCTTGTATTTTATGTTTGTTTCTACTGACAGCGCCATAAGCACGTTGTATAGTTGATTAAATTTTACAATTTCTTTATCATACAGCACCTGTTCCGCGAATAACCAAGGTTGGATATATCTTTAGGCCGTCAGCTCTGAATGCCGGATTCTCGAAAAATTCCTTAGGAAAAAAACAGAAAACCCCATTAGATATAATACATATACTGTAGTTGAAGCATCTCAGTGTTCAGAAATGGCAGGAAAGGTCACATAAAAATCCATTTCTCGGTTGAAACAACTTAATATCTGAAATGAATATTGTGATGATGCAACTTAGGTCGCAGGTTCGATTCCCACCGTGGTTAAGCTAAGTTTTCAGCTAACCCGGTTGGTTACTCAGGATAGCATCATCACAATATTCATTTCATATATAGTCTACACCCGAGTCTCATGTATTCTAGCTATTGGTCTACACCCGAGTCTCATGCATCCACTAGCTATTATTTACTATCAACTTATTATCTCATGAAATATACTTTATTTCGGTTTCAAATTTATGTCAGAACTAGTTTTTGTAGCTAAACATAATCACAAAATTCAGGACGGCGACTAAGTTCGTAAAGATTACAAAATATATAGCTAATCGATAAACACTGCAGAGTGGATTTCTTATTTCGACAGCCATTCTGCGCGCTGATCGGTTAAAATATAAGCGCGAGCTCAAAGAATTGTGGCAAAGGCTTGTAGCAAAGAATCCATCATTTGGAACAATCATTGGCGCGTTTGTACTTACAATAAATTGTTCAATGTCCCGTTCCAAACCAACATTTGGCAAATCTGGCATCATGTGGGAGACGACCTATAAAATATTCATATGGTTGAAAGAGAATGGTTGGAGTTCAAGTTCTAAGGAGCATTTCCCCGAACATGCGACTGCGATCACTGAGCCCTCAAGGTGCTGAAAACCAATCACAAATTCCTTCATATCATACAAGGTGCGACACAATGATTTAATATATAAATAACATAACATAATCCCCAAAACACCTTCGAGACCTATCTTCCTTTTCCTTTCCTATGAGATAGCAAGAAAAATTCTTATTATTATATTTTGCTGCATTGGCATGAACCTTTTGTTTATATATTCCTTCACAATTCCAACACTTTTGAAAATAAACGCCTCTTCGAAACTAACCCCTCTATCGAGAGTAACCACGAAGTATTTTCTAGTAAGTGAACAAATACGGTAATAATACAGATCATCGCCATATTCGGAATCCTATACCGCACCTTAAATCCAGCGTCTTTGGCCATGTTAAACGATTCGCACGTCGCTATTACGGTATGTCCCCTGACAAAATCATTAGAACACATTACGGTTGTTCGGTAGAAGAAATTAAGAAGAAATTTCGGTGGAAAGCGACATCACAACAGCAATTTACCTGGGAGGGGGTGGTTGCATCAAACACGTTTAGCTTAAACGGTGGATAAATCAAAAATAAAACAACACTCTTACACCTCTCTTGAATGAGTCAACTTGAATATTATGCATTGAATATTTATTTATAAACAGCATCGATGTATTAAGGTTAAAAAATTTAGTTTTCTTGTTGAATAAAACGATAGACTTGCTTTCTGTTTTGAACTTAACCACCGTTTAAGCTAAACTGGATTGATACAGTACAACAGGCCCCTGAGGGATATAAATTATCACCAGAAAAAAGTCATTAACAGAAAATATCTTACCTATTCGTATCTCTCGCAACATCTTCATAGACACTTTGAACACCAATTTCAAGTCTCGTGCAACCATATTCCAGCATAGAACTGCATAGCGAAGAGAAATTAGTAGAAAGAAGAGAAATTAGAAGTTGAATTTTAACGAGTGTTTGCGAAAATGTCATACGTTTTCTTAGTAGGAAATGTTTATTTTCTATCCTATAATGCCATTTACTGATCCTGTCACTATAGTTCTGGTGACACAGTAATCTGGTCGTACCTCAAATGTTTTGTGAGACAGTAATCTGGTCTTGTTTCTATTGTGATGCCAATACACTTCGTTTTACTTTTCTCCGAGAAACTATAAAGAAAAATATCAAATGGACGTTAAACTTTACTATCTTCGCTAGTCTAGGACTAGATATACGGTACATATATAAAGAAAGTTCTACGCGGAAATCCAGCATCGTGATTGGTCAGCGAATGCCAATCTCGTTGCAGAATTTGTGGTAATTCGCCAAGTGGAAAACGGGCTTTACCAAACAGCTTCGTTGACATTATTACTGACGTGACCAGAAAGTGCGTCGTGAAGATTTCTGATAAAGAAGTCTCGATATTCATCATCCAGTGACATAAAGGTCCCACCCATCACGATAAACTCAACCTTGAAGGAATGATGGACTATTTGCGTTCTAGACTAACTTTTGATCTACTGCATGGCAAGGGTAAATAATTATCATCAAAACAGGAAAGAGTATACTAAGTGTTACGTGTTCGCGAAGTGTTGTACTATTTTACCGCGTACGTATATGCAAAATGTGTGAAGTTCGCAAAGATACTCTCCGCATTTTACTTTTTTTAGAACGTTTTGAACCATAATTTGCAATTTTAGTAATGTTTTCTGGAAGAACGACCACTACAAAGATTTAGTCTCTGATGCAAAAACTTCTATTAATCGACGATTAAATGCACGGCCATTTAAAGCATACAATACCTTGTCAATGCTGTGTCCTAACTGCTTGAGCTAGAGAAAAAGAAATGGCAATAATTTTATTCCCTGATTCACAGACACTCACACGTTGACAGAAAAACCACCTCCGTGTTAGCACTGATCTAACAATACACTGTATATGGCAACTAAATCAATCTCGTGATCTTTAATACGCCTTGTATTAATTTTGATAGATATTGTTGCTATATCCAATGTTTTATCAGATCATCAGCCATCAGTGTCACACCATCGATTTATTCGTAATAATTCCACGTTGAGAATCCACGAACATAATCCTCAATTCAATCCCTCACAGTTAGCAGTTGGGTAACGGTCATGGTCCAGTTTAGGATTAAAGATAGGATTATATTCTGGTTTAGGATTAAAGATAGGATTATATTCGTGAATTCTGGACATGGGATCACTACCAATAATCAAGTCACTGCAGAGTGCGGCCTTGGAATACTGGTGAAATTATCAAAATTGAGATAACATAAAAAGTTTAATATATAACGGTTATACACAAAGTTAAATGGTTTTAGTAGTCTCCATACAATGCCGTGTTTACTCCAATACCTGTTCAAGTCTGTGTCTTGTTTGAACATATGGATTATATCTGGCGCGAATAGCTCTCATTGATGTCGGCTAAACAGAAATATAATATAATCAGAATACTTCCATCGCTATACTAGTTAAATGACTTTTCTTATCCGTGAATATTTCGGGGGACGGTCGCCACATTACCCACAAATGGGCTACTATATGCCTCCACAACACTCATGAAGCTTTGCCCTAGCGTGAAATGTGCAAATGGTTGTTGGATCATTTAGAGTCATGATGCCAGGCGCGAGGGCTCTTATCTTCACCTTGATGCTGGCTTCATTGAGGCAGTTCTTCGGGCCCTATGCCTACAAAAAATCCCGCTTTCCGGTATCAAATTTTGAATATTCGTGTTATTTTATTAAAATCTACCCTACCTCGTAACCAGTGTATGACTGAGTTGAATATTCGAAGTCCGAGTCTGGGCCACCCGGACAATAACTGTAAAAAATTATAAAATACATGATTTGGTTGTCCAGATTTTATCAAAATAATCAGCAAATCGGAGTTGCACGAGCCACTTTTCGGACACACTTCGGAAAATCCGCGAGACAAAGCGGAGGAAAGTTTCCCGGGAAAACTTAACTTGGCGGGAAATTGAGAAGGGGGAATTGCCACGGACTTTTGCCATATTTAACAATATCTACTCGAGAGAATATCCGATTCAAGAATGCCGATTGATACAATTTCTGTGGCACATTTGATTGCCGCTCTTGGTCTGATCAATTTTGCTCATTATTAAATGAAACTATTTGACTGATGAACCAACATGAAACTACGATTCATGAACATTCGCCAACACATTGCTTGTTAAACATTTAAATAAACATTCTAAACAAATAAATCAATCTGACTGTGTGAATCCTTCACAAATTCCTAAGATCGATTGCTTATAATACGTAAATACCCGAGCTGCTTCATGGACAAAATGTATGACATTGAAAGTTAGTGACATGTAGCTACTTACACACAGATATTTCCAGTCATATTGATATGTGGACAACGGTGAGGCTTGCACATCACAGCAACAACTGCAATCTGAAATTTGTATAGTGGGACGAAATTGTCAGGCTGGCTTAGGTAACAGTAACAAAATTTGTTCTTGTGAGTTGGCAATCTTCCACTGGCTTAATAAGCCAAGAGCAAAAATGGTTGAAGTACGATTATTGCAAATGTATATATACTATTAAGATGTACTATACACAATTGGTGGCAGCCTTGGGGTAAAGTGAACTCACATTTCTTTCTATTTATGCAAGATGAAATGCAAGTTGGTTTAGAGGGTCTGCAATTGGGTGCTCTTCTCCTAAGACAGATTACAGTAACTGCCAATTTAATGAGTTTACACTATATAAAGAAAGACACTGTCTTACCCCAGATGCAGTTCTGACAGGCTTGGCCTTAAGCTTTGGAAGCAAATCCTAGAGTGGTGATATAAAAAAACAATATGCATTCACCATAGTGGAGTTACTTTTATATTTGAATAAAATTAAACCAGTGAGCCCGCAATGTCTTCAGGGGTACTAGAGATGATGAAACAAGTACACAATGGCTTTGGCTTAAAAAGCCAGTAAAAAAACAACACCTTTTTATAAGCAGCAGGAACAGCTGCAATGATATCCACCAGTCTTGGTTGTGATGCCAGTCCATATTTACTGGCTGCATGACTTTTAATTCTTAAAAAAGATTCCAATTACAGTTGTTTGCACTAATGACTTCGATGCAGTTCAAACTTGTGATGAATAATATATAGTTTATTCAAATACATTTAAGATAAAGCACTTACTTATTTAAATTTGAATCTTCTCCCTTGTTGTGTGCTTCAATTAGTTGATTCACAATATCTGATATTGTCAGCATCATCAGCTCAGCTCGTGAAGCCTCTGGCACTAAATATTTGAGAAATGTCGTTATTTTAAAGTCCTATAAAGTGAAAAGGACCCACAAGCGAATATATATTATGAATGATAATTCTTGTTTAGTATTTATACTCAGAGTTGGAAAATGGGATTGGTAAAAATAATCTACTATGCATTTCTTGAAAAGCTATATTTGTTGGTATCTTTAAAAGCTTAGTTTACAGCCTTCCAAAAATGAATGATGCACGGTTTTTCAAGGCCAGTTAGATTGACCAATAGGTTAAGCAGGAAAGAATATATGCATTGCAAGCACCAGCGGTAAAACAATTTTTATATATTTATTTACAGTTTGCCCACTTTCCAGTCTGGCACTAAGCATACCACAATGCAAATGTTATCAAGCTTATTTCCAAACCAAATTCCAGTTCCAGAAATTCCAGTTTAATTCCTCTCTACCCCTAAAGGAATATCTACCAGACTACCATGTCTACCATAGCTATATGGTCAGCACTCACCACTCAGAATTCAGGAAAATCAATAGATTTATTTTTATTTTACTTGTGATATCGTGATCATACAAGTGCAACCATACATTTATGTATGTGTATTAATAAAATGTCTATATTTATCAGGATGTGTATTAAAAAATCTTAAATGAATTTATAATATATGTATTGTACAATACAAACGAATACAAACGAATTCTACTTCATCTGTAGCATTAAAAGAACATGAAGACAAAGGCTATACTGAATGCAACCCACCTTTCTTTCGTGCCTTCACCATAGTGAAAATATAGCCCCAGAAACCTACGATAGAATTTGCAAAACAACAAAACTATAGCTCAGTGAACAAAACGTAACAATTTTACGCCATTTTGTTTCTTGGGGATAACAAGGGAAATCGATGGACTTTTGTGAATTCAGAGATTCAGGAGGTCACTAAGCTCCCCTTTAAAAAAAATGTATTATTTTTCCTCTTTTTTTTTATCATAGACGAAAAAAATGTATTATTTTTCCTCTTTTTTTTATCATAGACGGCCCAAAATGTGTCGTTTTTTTAGATTAAATAATTTTTATACACATAATATTTTCGGATTTTGGAAGCTGGCGCTGAGCTGCCATTACTGTCTTTGTAAATATTACTATGACTTTTGTCGCACGATTTTGTCCAATCCTACGAAATGTTCGCGTAGAATGCGTCTACAGTTTAATATGAGTCTAACAACTGTAATAGCTCAGAGACAGAGAATAGTGCAAGGCAAAGAGCCAAAGAGAATATATATTAATGCCAAACTCTCTTCTACTCATCACAGCCTAATTAAACGTTCTGGTAATTCACGTAATTGGTAAAGACTTTAGACTTTACTCAGTGTAAAGAAGCGACAAGAAGATACTTCTGTAGTGTAAAGTCTCAACACGGAACGTTGTGGCAGTTGATAGTTGATACCCCTGCATACCTACCTAGTCTCGCCAAATAGGTATTTGCACTGCACAGAACACTACATGAAAAACGGTAATTACGGTATTGTGGCTGTACCAAAGGGAATGGAGGGTGAGAGGTCTCCCCCCCCCTCTAAGTTCATTTCATTGCAAAAATGAGCTGAGTAAGTAATGGCTGTAGTATTATAATCAATACTAGAGTAACATACTGTAATAGTATGTTAGCTAGACATCTAAACACTTCCACAGTCCACAAGTGTGACCATAAATTATATGCGAATATTTATCCCAAAACGTTTCAAATCTAGTCAGACTGCTCCCCCCTCTGGTATAAATATGTAATTATTAAAGTCAGGTTGGGCTTCCAACCGAACGTGGTAATAAAAATAACTAGACCTTGTCGAATTGCAGTTCACCCCATCCAGGCCACCTCCCCGTGAAAATCGAGGCGGACATATCAAGGTCGTAAAGAGGACGCTTGATAATTTTTTTCTCATGCTATGGATGGTCCCGCGAACGCTAATGCATTTTTTCTAAAGAGGGTTCACCTAAGTAGCGAAAATTCGTTGCCATATAAGCAGGCGTTCAAATCTAAATTGACCAAAAAGGGCAGGGTTTGAAAATTGTTATGATATTCGATCATCTGAAATTATGTGCCGTAAAACCCAAACATATATTTATTTTTGTACCGGCTTAGAACGAACAAAGAGGAAATTCGAGTTCCTGAGAAGCTTAAAGTCATCAAGTCATAAAGTGTTGTTTGAAATAATTTCCTTTCTGACAAAATGCAGTTAAAAAAACGAACTAATCCATTCGGATTGAGACAAAACTGATTTTGTTTCAAAACTCATTTTGTGACTCAGAATGGTCGACCGAACGAATTCCGCTGGAGTTTTTAATCTTCTGAGTGCATGTCGCCATGGGGTAATGCAAGTGTACACATCATCAATCAAGTATTCTTTTATATATCAACCTAGGAGACCACTTTTAAACCCTAATGGAAAATGGAAGTTATACGGACGCGCTCTCGCGCCGACCCATTCCTACATGAATCGTCTTTGTGTTTACGTAGGAATCAGCTTCCATACAGCTATCTGCTATCGGCTGTATCTAGTTTTTCCTGCCTGCTCCAAATCTAATGTGTTTCAGTAGTCGCGTGTCGAACAAAGTATGGTGTATAATGAGATGAATTCTGACTCCCTTTTATGAAGAAACGTCTGTTACCTGCGGATTCATTTAAGAGGGGGGGGGCAGCATCGGTAGTAAGGGCGAGGGTATTCATATATTCATATTAACAGACTGAAAAAACAATCGATTTTAAAAGATCGTTTGATCAAACAGGCTAACTTATATGGGCTAATTTGACTTGATCAATTCTCCAATAATAACAAAGATTCATGCTCTCCCGTAGGAAATACCCACTTTAAAAGGTTATTAAAAGATTAATCAATAACAATACATATAGGCTGAATTTCCACTTACAGAGAAATAGTTCGCTAGCGAAATATTTGTCTTCATGCAAATATTTCGCTAGCGAACTATTTCTCTCTAAGTGGAAATCCACGCTTACATACATAGCTAACACGACTTGTCCTATCTTAAAATCACTGTAGGAATGATTATTCATGCTCTTCAATAGACGGTACTTGTATATGAAGAGTTTCCACCCATCAATAGCAAGTCCTATACGCTGACAGAGGCCAATTTGACTTGGCTGTTCTAAACTTATGAGTGATTCATGCTCTCCACTGGAGGGTATACTTATATTTCAAGAGATTAGGCACGTTCCATACACTGACTTAGGCTAATTATTTCCTTTCCTTTTCATGCATCAATCTTCACCGTATTATATTGTCTCGAACTGTATTTTAATAACACTAACAACATTTACAGCAAATTGCTACTTAACATACACCGAGGACACTATGGTATCAGTTACTCATGTATATGTATATCCTCTTTGTCTTCCTTTGTATTTCATTTTGGTAGACTTCCCCTTGTGATCAAGTAAATATTTTTCCGAGTTTACCGAATTTCCTTCCTTTCCAATATACTTATTTGTCCTATTCATAGGAATTACCTATTTGAGGCAAGTCATGCATGCATAGGTTAGTCAGGATAGATTTGTAATTGGTAATTACCGAGAATTACCTTCCTCCCAACTAAATCCTACCGAAATCGCCATATTTTTAGAAACGCTTATTTTATATTTACCATTGTTTACGCTGGTATATAACTTGTATAAAATGTAGTGTTTCGAGATTGCTCGTGAAAATGACATTACGTGTGCAATGTGTTTAACACGAACCTATATGCAAGAGACTACAGAATTCTTGTGTAACCCTTAAGATTTTCAAAAAATGGTGGATTATCCTCTATAGCGATGTTGTGACCTTCCTCGGTGCCAGACTAAAATCTGCATTAAATATTTGTATGCTCTTAATTTCCGAGTTCTCGTGCATAAATGTGCGTATATTCTCTCTAAACTTCTCACTGAATCCGAGCAAAAATTTCGAGTTAAAGCGCAAAGCTATATAGTCAGGAAGTATTACATATATATTCTATAATGTAATTGGGTTTACATACAAACAAATTTCCTGGCCTTGAAATTTGAGAAAAAAAAGTGTAAAAATTAAACTTCAATCAGCTCAGTCAGCTTGGCTCGCGTCGGCGCGCAAACCTAAAAAAATCATGGGGGTGGGGATTGCTTTAAAGGACCTTCACCTTGTGTACCAAGTGTGAAAATTAAACTTGCAATAGAAAACAATGAATTTTAAGTTTGATGCGTGTATGCGCCTCATTAGAATGCTCTTTTATATACAGGATCTGAGGATCAGTAAAAAAAAACTGACACCTTTGAAATTCAAATTAGCTGCGAACTTATGGCTGGAATATGACAATTCCCATGTAGCTACAATCAACAAAAACGATTTGATAAACTGTTCTTTTGTATTTACAGAGCTTAGAATGCATTTTAACTCCAATGGGAACAAACTTTATGATTTAGGTTAATTAATATGATATGCATCGTATATACCTATGAAATATTTTAAGCAACTACTGCCACATTACAGCCGTTATGCGACTAATTTGAATTTCAAAGGTGTCAGTTTTTTACTCACCCTGTAGATGATACCAGCGATTCACGAATGTGGTCACTATCAGGCGACTGCATACACCAATTTTACAGACGATTATGCATTAAACAGTAAAAAGGCAATGAAGGAGAACATCGACACGCATTTGAACATTTGGCGTCAATGGAACATTAATTGGAGGGGATATTTATAATCTGTCATGCCAGGCTTATTTTTTGTGAAAGTGAAATTGTTTTCAAAAGAAATTAGCCAGGCATAGCAGAATATATAAATACGGTCCCCCTCAATTAGCGTTCGATTCACGCCAATGGAACTAACGCACCATTTTTTTGGTTAAACAGTTTTTCACTGTTTTGAATTGATATTTGAGAACTTTTATAATTTTGATGACTGGTTATTCTCGAAGTGCGTACGCGGGATTTCGAATAGTAATTACGAATTCAGGGCGGTTTTCCAATTGGCGGAATTATTCGCTCGGTTTTCTTTTCAATTGTGACCAGTGAAGAGAATCCGCTACGGTCGAATTCTCATTATTATTTCGCGAAAAATTTTCGTGCGATGGAAAAATTCCGCCTAGTGAAAAACCGGCTTTAGCGAGCAACTTATTTCTCCTTGCCTTCGCTCGCGAAAGGCGTGAAAATGGAGTTCCAGCGTTCCTAGCTGCTCCCAAATTTTGCATTTACACTCTCCATTTATGCATCGATTTTATAGTGTTAGGTTCACATTCTTTCGTAATTTCGACAACTGAGAAATGATCCGTGAATTGCACTTTTCCGCCTGGATAAACTCCCACTCTATGGTTGTGTTGTGGCCTTTTAAGGAGTTGTTTACGTTAACTCAATCACACGTACCTGTGATTAAAAGGACCGCGCGAACTGCTTGCTGATGATTTTCAGAAATAATCCACACTAAACCAGACAATCGGTCTGTTTCATTAATCACATTACAATTATTTATCTTCATATACTTCGAGCTGCTGAAAATCAACTGAAACATTGATATTGACTATGAGCCATAAAAATTGAGCCATAAAAATAAATAATATAAGCAAATAATTACAGGGATATCCCTTCGTAACAATAATAACAATAATAAGAATATAATGTATTTCATTCGCCAGGTTTAACAGCAATATAAAATGAGTTATTTAAACATTTCATTTGTATTGACAAAAATTGGTTGAACAATTATAACTGCATCTGAGACAACCATTCATGCATGCAACCTTAATTAATAATTCAATTAACATTCTTTTTATTCAGATACGTTTATTTTGATGATTTAGCAATTCCGTTTGGGGATTTGTAA